CTACTCTGCTACTACTACTGCTACTACGACGACTACTACTACTACTTCTACTACTACTACTACTACTACTACTACTACTACTACTACTACTACTACTACTACTACTACTACTACTACTACTACTACTACTACTACTACTACTACTACTAGCCGCCCCCCCCTCCCCCCAACCAACTGCCAAAGTTAAGCCGGAACTCAAAGTAACTGGCAGGCGTGGTACGGGAAGCATTGGCAGGTAGCGGAAGCTACTTCTCGGGATCCTACATTGGACAGCAAAAAACGCGTATTTCTCGAGTTTTGGACGTCAATTTTCACGCTATGTTGTTCATTGTCGTCGTTTTAAGGAAGGATGCTAGGGGGGTTAAGGGTTTGGGAAGCGGGTCTGACGTCTGGCTCACGGAAGTCTTTTTGGCGCAGTGCTTTCATGCCAGGGGTAACACCATGGTCTCGGCACGCAAGACACACGTCGTCGGCGACGTTAACTGCACAGAGCCTTGAACATGTTGCGCTGTTGAATGTCGCAAACGTAGGCACTAAATGCCACGTCAGTCCGGTCCATGTCCCCCCCTCCCACCCCTAAAGCCATCCGCACATGTCACTCCGGGCAGTGTCGCCAAAAGCAAGGAACAAACCCCCCCCCCAAAGCTTTGGCGCGAACGTAATTACCCCCCCCCCCCCAATGAATGGATGTTGGCAGCTAAGCGGACATGCTGGGAATGGAAACTCTGGCAGGAACGTAATTACCCCCCCAACTAGGGTCTTTGGAAGGTAGTTGGTGGGGGGGGTGCCTACTACTACTACTACTACTACTACTACTACTACTACTACTACTACTACTACTACTACTACTACTACTACTACTACTACTACTACTACTACTGCTACTATACTACTACTACTACTACTACTACTGCTATTATTAGTACTAGTTATTAGTATTAGTATTAGTATTAGTATTAGATTAGATTAATTAGTATTAGTATTAGTATTAGTTATAGTATTAGTATAGTATACTACTACTACTACTACTACTACTACTACTACTACTACTACTACTACTACTACTACTACTACTACTACTACTACTACTACTACTACTACTACTACTACTACTACGACTACGACTACGACTACGACTACGACTACGACTACGACTACTACTACTGCTACTACTACTACTACTACTATACTACTACTACTACTACTACTACTACTACTAACACCCACACTACAGTACACTCTACACTACTACGCCTCGCTAGCTTTCTTCAGGGCGGAATCAATCTAGGACACGCAGCCTTAAAGCGAATACAACTTGGGACAAGTCTAAGCTTCGTACTAACAGGTGAAGCTCATGCTTCCACAGACTGACGTTCGAACTTTTCTCGACCCGCCGAGTGGGTTGGTCGAAAGGTCGTGTCGACCAGCACAGTGCGTCTTAGACGTCACAGTGCGTCCAAAAGCGAACTGGCTGGTGCAAACGACTCACTGCCCTCGGGCGGGTGAGGTGGGTATCTGCAAAACTGCTCTGGGCTTCTCGTCTCGAGAGGCGCAGCTGAGCTCACGAACAGGACAGCGTACTTAGCACTACGCACAACTTGTCACTGCATGCACACGTGCATTTCCCGACAAGTCTAAGCTTCGTACTAACAGGTGAAGCTAACGCTTCCACAGAACTGACGTTCGAACTTTTCTCGACCCGCCGAGTGGGTTGGTCGAAAGGTCGTGTCGACCAGCACAGTGCGTCTTAGACGTCACAGTGCGTTCAAAAGCGAACTGGCTGGTGCAACCGACTCACTGCCACTCACGCGCGGCACCAGCCACGTTCGCGCGCGGGAGAGACTCGGCGAACTGGTCGAAGGCGAGCAGGTCGACGAGCTGTTGGAACCCTTCTGCTGTCGCCAACTCAGCCGAACTAGCCATCTTGAGGGCAAGATCCCACACTTTTTCGAACTGGGCATGAACCTGACTGCAACCTAGCCCATCCGAAGGCGACCAATCGCCTCTTGACACTGCATCCGAGAGGTTGGACTTACTCGAAACTCTCACGAATGTCACGTGCAACGAACGTGCAGCAACCCAAGCCCAAAAGGCACCGAACAAGTTAGTCAGTCGTGTGTCCTTGGAATAACCTTTCTTTACGTAGCGCGTGTTCAGAAGCAACATTATCCACGAAGCACACGACCATGTCAGACAGGACGTTGGCAATGACAGCCAGCGAGAGCGGCTGCGCGAGCGCTTCAAGCCAATAAATGTAGGCCTTGGTGGTAACCGCAATCTGCAAGAAACTTTTCGGCACTTCAGTACGAAACGCGAGGCGGGTGCCATCAACACCGAAGAAGACACCGCCCAGACCATTAACTGAACCTTGCAAGACCGAAAAGGAAGGCGCCGACCGTAACGGGAGCCTGCTAGGGTGATGCAGGCGTCTGCGTATAGAATGCAGGGAACACGGGTCTGCGGGTTGGGGCTTATAGGGGGAATTCTTTAGCACGAACCAGCGGGAGCAAATGCGTTAGGCATTGCAACGCTGCACGAAGGGACGGGTTCAGGCGGGAGTGGTGGAACTGGGAGGGCTGACGGGCATACACCGCCCGGAGAAGGGCCTTTCCCACTCCCCCAAAAACCCAAGTGCAAATGAAGTTAAGCTTGCCCGCAAGGCGCGCAGCCTCATCACACGACAGTTCGTCGTTTGCCAGAGCCTTGCATCGTCTAACAGGTCCCAAACTACTCCTAGCAAGGTGATGGAAGCGCACGGGGGTTTGGCTTTAGCCTCTTTCATCGTGAACCCCAAGGTTCGCTGAATCATACGCACTCATGGCAGTCTGCTGAAGTTCAGCAAAGAAGAAATCGTCCACGAAGTGTGCTGCTGGGATAAACGCCAACACGATTGCGCGGAAGCATATCACATCGGCAACCCGAAGGTATGCCCAGACACTACCTGAACTACCGAACGGAAGGACTTGATGCTGCCAGACAGACGGGCCATGGTTTGTCGGTAGAGACACAAAGCACTCATCAGGGGCTCGAACGGGTAACGCCCTGTAAGCACCCTCGTGATCCAAGGCTGCTAGAAGGCAGGTCCCCAGACTGGCAACTGTCTGCACCAATGACAGCACAGTCTGTGTCCCCTGATACGCCGGGCTGTCGGACACCCGTGCGGTTGAGTTGTGTCCAGAGCGACGCCAGTCATCCCCCCTACGTACTTTGTCGGACTGCACAATGGGAAAAGCCCTGGCGACAAACCTACATTCGTCCGACAGGATCACGTCAGGGGAGAAAAGGCCCACAAACCGCCCTTTAGCTGCCTCCTGTTTGATTTGAGACCGTTCCCCAGACCCTTGGCCGCCTTTTTGCTAACAGGCCCACCAAAAACCACAGCAGCAGGTTGCTGCGTCACTGCCGCCACCACCACGGACGGGTGTCCATCAGAGTCGCCGTAATACTCCTGCACCGTGAAGTCCATGAAGGGCTCCGAAACTGGCGCGACCGGGATTGACGATGCCGAGGAAAGCACAGGGTCCGGGGTATCCGCGCTGGAGCCCGGGATGACGACCTGCGCTGCCCCAGCTGGTGTGTCATCGTCATCCGAACTGGAACACGGGTCCTGCATTCCTTGCTCCAAGCAAACACGAACCAGGTGGCCGACCAGAGGGTTCAAGACGTGTGGGGCCAGCCCGCTTGCTTCCCAAACGAGCTGAGCCGGATCGACCCCCGCCAAGTAGAGCAAGGCCTGGCGGACCATTGTCCCCACAGCGCCACCTGGTAAGGCAGCCTGATGCCCGGACGAGCTTGCTTTGGGAGCACTGCCGGTCAGGTGCTCAGGAAGCGGCTGCAAACCATCGCCCAGCACGGTGGCTGGCTCCACCACAGCAGCTGCTCCATCCACCGCAGGCTCAGCCGGCACCATGTGCACGAAGGCTATCTGCAAAACTGCTCTGGGCTTCTCGTCTCGAGAGGCGCAGCTGAGCTCACGAACAGGACAGCGTACTTAGCACTACGCACAACTTGTCACTGCATGCACACGTGCATTTCCCAACAAGCCTACTAGGATTTGTCGAGTTTCCTACAATCACCCATGTTGCGGATATGAGAGCACTCAGAAGTCTCCTGTCTCGCTTCCTCGAATCGTCGAAGACGCTGCAAAGCTACTGCCTTAGGTCAAGCACAGACAACATTTTCCTCAAGACGTAGCGAGCTACACCTCAAGCAAAGCATCTGCCTTCGCTTCCCTGACGGGGTCTGCGGAGATATGCCAGGAGCCGTCCGGAGGGTCAAGGCGGTCAAGCTTGTCCTTGCAACAATTCTTGGATAACCTCCTCGTGCAAACAGTTCATAATATTGCAGTTTTGCAACCCTTCTAAGAGAGTCCTTGCCCAGAAGCTGCTGTTCGCCACTGCAGCGCTTGCACCTCGTCATCTGATGTCATCATGCCATCTGCATAACTTTGAGTCTGTTTATGTTCGACAGTTCAACAAACGCCAACTGCAGACCTCAATCAGAAGGCGAATAGAGGCTGCGCATGTCTGAAGGTGACTCAAGGTCCGGACAGCTCCAATGCAAGTGCAAGATGGTCCTGAAGGATTCTCAGCATTGTTTCGTTAATTAGCGACTGCTTTCAGGGAACACGGAGACTCATCCAACCAAATGGAACTGCTTGCTGCATCTTGATGCAGAGCCCGGCCTCTGCCACAAGGCCATCCCGGAGCTCCGCAGCACGCTTCGGGTCACAGAGGTGTGCCAAACCGACCTGCCAAGGCGTTGTGCGCATGTGGCAACTGTCAAGGACAACTGTGGACCAATTCAAGCACAGCCGCACATGACGATAACTCACGGCTAGTCAAGATTCCAAATCCTACATTGAACATTTTGCCGCTAGACGGCGCAAGCGGTCGCATAATTCATGGAATAAATCAAGGCGTGCTATGTACAGCCGTGCACCGCTTGTGGGTGCTGTCGCTGAGCACCGGAAAGCCTACTAGCGATCGGCTTTGCCACTTTCACGACATCATCAGCTCCAAAGAAGCAGACGGATGACTATCAATGCTTGACATCATTCTTGTCGAGAGCTTGCCTTCCCTGATGACACCCTCAGGGTCTTGGAGAGAAAGGTGCATGTCACAGATCATCTGCCGGCCCTTGACTACTGGTCTTGTGAACTCACAATTGCTACAGTGTCTGAGCTGCCCTTGCCAATGCAGAACCGGCCTTCTTTGCGTCGTAAATTTGCCAACTTGCTTCCTGAGCTTGCCATCCAGTTGCTTTAACCTTCCGAAACCGTACCTACTCTGCTACCAAGCATCATGCTGGAACATCCGGAAAGCTCCAAGCCGGATCAAGTAGCATTCGCCCTGGCCGCTCCAAGTATGTAGGTCACACAAGCCACAAGCCAACGCCAGCTTCTGTTGTCTTCGGCCCGCCTCATCGAAATTGCATGCCTCCTGAATGAGAGGCATAACTGCATCAGTGTAGATTTGATCTCTGAACTCGCCGCAAAGCCAGCCTTGCAGCGATTCGAATAGTTATTTCCTCATGTGCAAATTCATTAAGATTCTGTGCATCCTTCCATCCAGCCTTGAAGTCCCACGAATGCCCACTCCTAAGATTAAACGGGAGTTTGACCCCGTGTCTGTGGTGCCGGAACAACTGGACAGACAACCTTCTGAAGTGCCGTTGTCGTCGTTGTCGTTCATGGTCGTCGTCGCTGCTGCTGCTGGTGTTGGGGTGGTTGCGACAGTTCTTGCAGTTTAGTCTTGAAGCCGATCTCTGGCTCACCCTTTACCAATCCTATCGAATCATATCGAATCATACCCGTCCACAGGAAGCAGGTACTCCCAATGGACGTCGGGGGTGTCGGGGCAGAGCCAGCTTGGATCACTTCGGATCACCGATCACTCGAAGCTGCTTTCGTTCTAGTCATTCGGACTCTTGTCTGAGTCTCTTCGAGGCTGTCAAACGGACACTGAATGACTGAATGCACAGGGAGATGGATCATGAGATTGCAAGTAAGCGTCATCGACGTGCATCTTGGGACCGCCCATGCTGAGGATGTCATCCACCAGTCTGACGATGCACTTCATGTTCCTGAAGGCCATCAAGCACTGTGCGCGAGATTTTGCGAGCTCGGAGCTGATTTTTTGGGCTTGTTGTTCGTCCTTTTGTCTTTACCAGGCCGGGGTTCATCGTTGCCAGCCAGATATAAGCAAACGGCATGTATCCCAGGCAGGTCAGATAGTACGGAGCTGGGTGCAGGCTCAGCGGGTTGCCCAGTCGCCTCAGCTCACGGCAGCTCAGGGCCAAACCGGAGCGCTTCCCTGAATAGCTTGGTTAACTTAGTTTTCTCGTAGTATGGCAGTTCATGGGTCCTGGGTTGGAAGTAAGACGTCAGTGAAGCGAGCATTGTTTGTAAACAGTGGCTCCGCTGTACTGTTCAACACCGAAAGCACGTCCGTGTTCTGCTCTGCTTGGTACACATTCATGCTCCAGAATCTTCATGTCCTTTTCGCAAATGAAGTATGGATTCTGTCAGCTCGCTGCTCAGCAAACTACACAGCTGTATTTCTAAGGTCATCCGAATCCGTAACGCTCGAAGAAGCATGGGTGGCGAGGTGCGGATCCACTTTGTCCAGCTTTTCCTTCACCGCTTGAGTCTTCTTGACCATGAAGTGTGTTTGCACCTGATCTCATCAGCTGTGCGGCTCCATGACTTCGCTGTGTACAAATCATGTCGTAGTGCCATAGTTCCTACTTCAAGCATCATAGGCTGGCTCTGCTGCATGATGTGCTGCGCAGCTCCGTATGCAGTTCTTGTTGCACTAGCCGAGACAGCCAAGTTTCTAGCCAAGCAAGCCTTGTACAAGTCCTAAAACAGCCTGGTTGACTTGCTGGGGCATTCAACGGGCATTTGAGGTCAGGGCTTTCGAGTTGCGGGCTTGGGAAGATTTATTCCCTGAACATTTGTCTAAACTCTGAACAACCTCTTGAGTACAGTGTAGGGCTTTTGGGGTTCAGCGTGTTTTTCCCAAGGTCGACGGTCGACGGCTTCGCTACGCCCATGCAGCAGGCGAGGAGCACGGGTGCAGTGTGGGGCTCAGCTGTTTGGGGCCTAGACAGGCCGCGAAGCGCTTTTGAAGTCTCTTGCGCGCGTCCATGCGGAGGCTCGGCACTCTCACCAAGCGCTGACCGAGCCTTGTCGCATCCGGCCTACAGTAGCAGAAGCTAATACCGGGCAAGCGGAGCCCAACCACTCACGCGGTCGCGAAGGCACGCAGGCACTCACGCTTAGCCAACCCGCTGACGCTGCCAAAGCAGGCCCATCAGGCCCGCAAGGCCCTTGTTGGGCCTTGCAGGCGTGCAAGAAACACTGCAACCGCAGCATCTTTCTTGCTGCAAGGCTCCGTCCCGGTCGCTCCCCCTGAAGCATTTTTGGAAGATCCCGCTCAAGATGCTCACGCTGATGCTCACGATCCGCACTGCCCCTCTTTGGGTGGTCGGTGCCCCGGTGCCCTGCAAAAAGAAATCCAACAAAAACGAAGAAGGTCGATGATGCATGAGGTTCCAGGTTTTCCCAGAACCACCAAAACACGAACCCAGAAGCCATAATTGACCAGCCAGAGGATCGCCTTAAACAGTGCGGTACGAGACGTAAAGTTTATGTTGGCTGGCCCTTCCCTGCCTAGCCCCCCAAGGATGAGCATCGACAGCCATGGCTCGAGCGAGCTCGCATGCATGCAGGCACTTCACTGGCATCTGCTAGATGGTCCGAGCTGGCCAGCTGTGGGCAACAGACTTGCTAGCTGGGGACCCATAGTCCTAGGCCGTGGACTAGACAGTAGTAGAGTTGAGGGCGTGAGACTAGATCATCAGCAATCAACAAGAAGCTGACAATGCCACCATGACTGCAACATCAGATTCCCCTTAGGCCAAGGACCCAGTTTCCAGCCCAATATCTGTGGCTGAGGTAGTACCCCACGTCATCTGGAAAAAACTGCCCATACCAGCATAAACAAAACCTCATCAGGCTGGCGATGCGATGTCAACGAGCCCGTCATGCATGAAAGGACACGTCACGCTGGGCTACGTCGCTACGCTGAGCTCACAACTCTGCCAAGAACCACAGCCGCAGCCACGTGTTCATGCCAGTCCAACTCCTCGGGCATGGTCTGTAGTAGAGGTCCACAGGTCCACAAACCAAGCAACTTTACAAACCTTACAACTCTCGCCAGCTCTTAGTTCAGCTCACTGTTAACAAAGCCATCTTTCTGCAACTCTCTGCACTCAAGCGGCGTCCAGTCGAAGCCAAAACTCGCAATGTAAAACAAGTAGATGCCACTCAGGCCTGTCAAAAGACAATACAGGCACTACAGGCTACGGAGGCAGTAGAAGCACCACATAATGCAACAGACTGCGGTCCTAAGCACCGGGCAAAAGCACAAATTCCACGAGTACACATCAAATGGTGCTGGAGTAAGTAGTATGTAAACGTGCATAGCCTTGGATGCATCATATGTTCTAAGACCGGTAGGGAAGTTCACATGGCAGCATCTTCTGCCAAAACGTGACATCGGAGTCCCAATCAAAACGAGGCCACTGTCAAGCCAATGATGCCCAGCCATATTGCCTAGGATGTGGATGATCACACCGGCGCGATCAAAACATCATTCGCGTGTCTGACGAGTGTCGGTGGTGGAAGGAATCATCAAGGCGATTGGAGCGGCGTACTCAACGAAGGCTGCAAAGTGGGCAAGGCATGTACCAAACCAGGTGGGTGTCCTGAGGCTAACGGCAGGCTTGACAGCCTTCATCGTGCCCAACAACCTGCACAACTTTCACGGTTAAGATTGAACAGCCAAGGCTCAGGGCCTAAGGCTAAGGCTAAAGTCGGCAAAAGGGCAAAATGCAAAAGGGGCTCGGGCAGTGTCCAAAAATAATTTGGATCTTTCGAGCAATAGCTCTGCACAAAGCACAACAAAGCAACTGTGTGCCCGCTGGTGTGGACCAGACTGCAGGACAGCGCAGTTTGGCCGCATGAAGCAGTATGGAAACGGCACCGTGTCTTCATCTAGGAGCCTCTGCGAGCCTCTAGGGATCATCCAAGACACCTGGACCGGGCTTGGATGTGTCGAAGATGTTTGGCCATCCAAGCACGAGACAGCCATCAACAATCACGCACCAGATGCGCTGAACAGCTGCCCTATACATGCAGGATGAGGCAGCACAACGTGCCCGCGGCTTCATGACCCGAGACGAGACCGTATTGGAATCGAAAGCAAGTTGATTACGCTGGATGGCGCAAGGCGCAAGACCAGCCATGGCACAGTCACAGAAATATTGAGAAGGACGCGAAGTTGTGAATGCGTTGATGGCCACTCGCATGCATTTGCTTTAGCTGCTGGGCAGCATTGCCGCTGGGCAGCAGCTGCCCGCCAACCTCTTGTTGCTCCATGGAAGCTGCGTCCAACTTGTTGCCTTTCTTGGCAGGGATTTGCGAGCTAAGCATCTAATGTCCGAAGCACCACTATAGGCAACGGCAACCTTGCATTGTAGGTGCCAATGTTTCACAACTCAGGATAGTCGCAACAGGCTCTTCCCAAAAACCTAAACGACTCATGCTCCAAGTACTTCACGTTTGGCCCAGAAGTCCATGCGTCGATTTCCACGAAACGACTACGTAGAGCAAAGACATGCGAGGCAGCCAGAACAAGAAGTCTGCTTAGAAAAAAATAAGGTAACATCGCCGGTCATGACACACAAGCCTAGGTATTCCGCCAAACCAGAGTGCAGAGCTGAAGTTCGGTCTTAGGCTGGGGCGAAGTTTCTTGGTTTTGCAACGTTTTGCTTTTGGCGGGCCTTAGGCTTACCTTTAAGAGTTGGTTCCGGCAAGCAAGAATCCTTACCAGGATGTCCGGGGGTAGGGGCGATGCGTGGCATTGTGAGTCCCATGAGATGCTCTTCTGGTCCCACGGCTGGTCCTGCACGGATTGGCAGCATTTGGCCGGGTTCGTGTGAGCGCCAAGTGGCAGCCCAACTTGCGTTTGTCAAGGGGGCAGAGAAGGTGGGCCGGACGGTGCGTAAGCCATGGTCGAATGCAAAGACACACACACACACATACACATATGCACACAAGCACACGGTGTGCAATTTTCACAAGGAAGCAACGAAGAGTCAATGCAAACCATCCAGTCGTGCTGAGTACTTCTGGATCTGCTTGACAGGGCTCATCTTATCCTCAGACTCGATCAGCAATTTCTGGAGCCATTTGCTTCCGCGCAGCCATCTTGACCTCTTCCATGAGTTTTTCATGTCACGTCTCGGCCCTTTGGCTGGGATATCGCCCAAAACAATATCATGTAGCACGAGAGACCACTTTGGGGCTGCGACTGCAGCATGAAGGGTCCATTAACATACCTGCCGCGGACAGCGATGCTGCGCAGTGGCGTCTCTGCACACAGCAAACATAGCAAGAGCCAATGCTGCAACACGCATGCTACATGCTTTCCAGGTGCTGAAACCAAGGCCCGATTTTTCCAATACCTTGCAAATGGGATGACAGGTACATTAACAGCATCTTCGAAAGAGCCTTACAAGGCTCAACATATTGGCCTGAGAAGAACCATTGCATGATCAGTCCCAACCTTGGTACAAAGCCATGCTGTGCCCAATGCATTCCAATGCATTTCAATGCACCTTCTCGTTTGTCTTATATCAGCATCTGGTACTCTTCTACACCGTGAAGACTAAACAGTGTAAATTAGTGTAAATAGCGGGAAGCTCCAAAGTTCTCAGCTTTTGCCATTTCTTGCCAAAGTGCTGCATCCCTGCAAAACTGCCAGAGGCCAAAGGCAGGCAAGCCGAGAGCAACATGCTCCTTCGCACAACAGCTGAGACTTAATGGATGTGGATGTGGAGCCACACAAGCACCCTCTTTGCAGCTCCCGTAGGCGTGAGCGGTGCCAGCGTAGAACTGTGTTCTGTCCTGGGCCCAACCCTCTGCACTGAGGACGCCAAGTGCTGTGCATACGAAGGCAATTGAGTTGCGGACAAAAATGAAGAGATAAACCTTGGCTCCGTGGCATGGCACATGATGGTGCATGTACCTTTCGTGCATGTAGTTTCCACGGCTTCACTTTAACAAACGCATGTGCGTGTGTATGTATTGTGTATGTGCTGCCAAGCGTCGTCACAGCAGAACAGAGCCTCCGTATAAGAAAAAGGCGAAGCTGAATCCCAACTCAAAACGAAAAGGGCTGCTGTTCCTCGGGTGATTTCGCCTAGTCACCCTTATGCAGCAGAAGCTGTACCAGGGACAAAGCAGGAAGCCCAAACCAGCAACGAAGAAGAGAGAATGAACCGCGAGGTCAACAACCTTAGCTCATCGTGGCTTTCAAGATCTCTCAAGCATCACTTGGCATGGCGACTCCCGGGTGTGTCTGAGCACCTTCGACAACTGTCGAATAAGCTGTTTGATTGCCTACTATCTTCTCAGGGTGCGGTTCTGGGAGCAACAACAGTCGCTGAATGAGAAACCTGCACTGCTTCAACTTCCAGCATGCGTGCAGATGTCAGTAGCAAAAGCGAAGCTCAACTTTGGGCTTCAGAATGCTTCAGATCTATATAAGCCAGGCAACATTTCTTTTATTCCCACCCAACATGGGGAAGCACGAATACTTCAAAGTACCCCGTGAAAGGCGGTACCTCATCTTGCAACTTCTGCTACGCCGCTATGCCTGGCATGTGCGTTGGCATGTGCCTTGCATTGCCTCTGATGCCTACGGCCTACGCAATGCGAAAATGGTCCAATCCCGGCTGCCACCAGTTGTTTGGAAACGCCACGCCATTCAGTGGTCCTTGACGGCACCCGAATGCTTCAGCTAAATGCTGCCAGACCTGGGCAACCCGTGCGGTGCTGACCGCCCCCCTGGCGTGGCATCTGCGAGATGTGAGCAACGCAGCCCAAGCCAAAAATGCATCCCAAATAATCCAAGGACTGCGCAAGAAGCTTCGCGAACAGGAGCACAGAATACTCGTAACTAGGCAGGTCGGAAGGCCTGGCGAAAACAGGTGAAAATATCCGAAGGCTTACAGGGACAATGACTCATCTTCGAATGCCTCGGCATCAATGCGATCAAGATGAAATATCCTTTGTTGCACCATTATTTCATTTGCTCTTCATGAAGCCGTGCAGTGGCTTGCAGGCTCGAGTATTTGCAACAACGGTGCCGCCGTAGTTCACCAGGAGCATTGTGATGTGAAACCTCTCATCGAGACACACCCGCATGTCCACATGTCTGCTGTCCGAACAGCTAAGGTGTCCATGTGGTCGTCTTGTGATATTGGCCATGATGCTCCATCGTCCAGATGTGAAAGTGCAGGGTACCCTAAGAAGCTCTTAAAGATCCTCAACACGGGCCAAAGCCCCTGAAACCGGAAGCTCCCCCCAAGAACCTCAACCAATTCATCAGTCATGCATATCGAGACCAACATTCATGCCAAGATATGGCGATCCCTTGTGCCCACGACCTCCTGTTCAACAAAAAGAATTCTAATCAATGCCCTGTGCCCACACGTTTCAGTTGCTCGAGCCTATATACAAGCGAAGGTCGTTCCATCCTGGCTTTCCCGATTCACATTTCAGGGCAGTGACCGGGCATTGAATTTCACTGGCAGCACAATGTTCTGCAAGACCCCTACAAAAAACTAACTCACACACGGCCACACATTAACAACATTTAACAGCCGCATACCAGCCAGCCCTTCTGAGTAGCGTGCGATAAACAGCATTGGGCTTGTGAGGATTTTGGAGTGGGGGCGACATCTTCCGAGCCACTTTGCAATGTGCCATATGCAGTTCTGCAGCTGAAAGCTGAGACTAGGCGAGACTGAGCAGGGACTAGCAGGGACTAGCAGACTAGCAGCAATGAAGCGCCTCCAAGTCTCCCGTGCTTCACTATCCTCTTCGCGAAATGGTCTAGCCGTTGGCCGACCGTCATCGCCTGAAACTTTTCCTTTGGCAGATCGAAGTAGTCACCATCCCTTTGTTGCACCGCGGCAGCAACGTTGCAGCAAGTCTTGCACTCACCCCGGCCGAGCTTTTGGACTGGGCTTGACTGTGCCGAAAAATTGCCAGCCAGGGCTCCAGTTAATATCAGCCATGGCTTCGCTAAAGCTAGCAAGGGGCCCTCTAATCTTGGGCACTGCACACTGCGGTTGGCCAGGGCTTTTTGGCAGTTCACATGCATTCACCAACACCAGGCTCTGGAAGATCGACATATTCAAAAGCAAGACAAGCCCCTTTTGCTGAACTGTCTAACACCAGGCCTTCCGACCACTTACCTGTGCAAGGGGCTTGTTCAGTACTTGGTTTATCTTTGTGCGCTGTGTGACCGATCTGCATGCGCAGCATCAATCTGAGTTGCTGGCATGCCACAGATGTGGTATGAAATCGAGATTCTTGAGACTTCTCTCAAGCTTGAGCTGAACCTCTGCGTCCAAATCTGTGAAGCACGTGGCTGCACCAATCACCGCCTGGCTAGATGCTCTCGAGCTTTGAATGGGAAGTGACGTGCCTCAGCCCCAGCGCCGGCAAACCTGAAGGCGAGTGTGTGCGTGGCCATTGCTGCCGATGCAGCATGTGTGATTCTTGCAGATCTCACGTGCATAGACTGCCCTGACAACGCGGCATTCGTTCTCAGACTTGGGCTTCCCTTGGAGATAGCTCAGTAGCCTTCGAATCAGAAACCTCAACGGTTGAAAAAGAACAGCAAGATACAGCAAGGTGAATGACGGTGCACCATGGCAGATTTGACTCATGTTCAGGTTCCCACGTGAGGAGCCGTACGGATGTCAGAGGCGTGCCAGGCCTCGCGACAGACAGCTTACATGTTGGCAGAACATTGCGGAACCGTTTACAGCAATCCATTCGTGGCCCAGGCTGCCAGGGCGTCGAGGTGGTCCAAGTCTTGTCCGGACCAGACTTCGGTGTCAGGTCCTCACTGAACCACAGAATTTGCAACAAATCCACAAGCCCGCGTCTCTTAATTTACCTCACAAAAATTTGCTGCGGGCTAGCGGCTAGCCACCATGTCTCTCATGTTGACAGCATGTTTTTTCCATGTTCTGACATCTGCCAGCCGGGAGCAGCGCGTACAGCCGAAGCGACAACTCGTCGCAGATATGAAAGCCTTCGCAGGCGGATGCAGGCAAACACATTAACAGGGTCAGGAGGGGCTAGAGCCAAACCTGGCTTTGAATGCAATTGAATCTCGACGAGGGAGGGTCAGAGGTGCCAGGTGTTTGCAGCACATTCTTGCGCATTCTTTGGCATCTATATTTGTATTTGCACTGTGGGGCCGCATGGTAGGCTTCGGGCATGCAGCGGCGTTGTCGGGGCTGTCGGAACAAAGCCTTGCAAGCAACCAAGGAGTCGACATGTCATGCGTCTGAAAATGCCAGAGCAGCTGAGTGGCTCCAGGATGCTCTCTGCAAGACCACTGCTGGGCGCCTGGTAGCAGGGGTGCACGAGAATCAAGATCTCCCATCAGGCAAGGAGGACTCGAGCCTCCTCAAAATGGTGTCGGCTGCGAATCTCCGTGTCCTATCCAGGGATGCCAATACAAGCAAGTCTTGTGCATGAAGCTGCGCTTACCTTCCGAGAGGCACCGGTGAGGCACCAGGGACCGCCCAGGCCCTCATCCTCGGCCTGAGCGATTACTGCTACAAGCAAAGAATTTGGCTCAGGACGCCAATGCGGTTTGCGCTGCCTGATGTGCTTTTCGTCCAGGCGAAGCAATTGCTTCCGACCTGACCATGTGTACAGTGCAGACAGTCTGTACATCTGGTTGATTCTTGTTGCCACATGTGCTGCCCTCCCATGCCATGTGATGAGAGCGCTTCCCCACCATTGCGCCTTGTCTCCTCGCCATTCTCCTCTTCCAGATGCGCCTGCTCGGTATCTCTGCTCAGCATACTTATCACATCTATGCTCTGTTGGTAGAAACTGATAGAACGCATCACCAACCTCATCTGCGTCTTCGACCAACACCTCGAACTCCACAAGCCAACTGCATCATGAAACATCTTCGATACCATCAGTATCTCCACTTTCCACACCTCCTTCTTCTAGCTGCTTCTAGCTGCAGCCCGGAACGCCACTAGGGGGGGCTTGAGGAAGCCAAATGCTGCCGCAAAGCAGGAGTCTGCGATGGTTGGAGCGCCAGCGCTTTGCGCGCGTACCGCAGGATCAGCTCATCGTGCCGATACCTTTGCTCCAGAGACTTGCAGCAATTTGCTCATGACGAGTTTGTTAAGTTTGCAGCGGCGAAATTCAAAGGCATACATGCTTCACAGAAAGCCGATGGCTGAGTGTCAAGCTCTGGAAAGTCCTCCAGAAACTTCTTCAGCAGGTCAACACGCCTCACCACGTGACAGCGTGAGTCCAGGAACCCCTGTTCAGCAGCAAGGTCTTGACACGTGCACAGCAGACACTTAGTGTACCACGCGTTCATGAGCAGGCTCTCGACGATGAGCTCTGGCTTCCTGCCATCCGCCGACAAGCTTGCATGACCCAGAATGATCGAGGCATCTGGAGACTGCCCCAGGTCCTGAGAAGCTTTAAGAAGTGTGGCCGCATCGTCTCACTGACTTCACCCAGAAGTTGCAGCGATGCCAAGAGCACACGCAGGCGCTCCTCCTCACAGCGACAGGAGACTGGAAAGAAGTCGGGGTGAAACGTGGCAAGCGCGGTTCACAAGCTTTGAAGGCCTCCCCTGGGGTCAACCAGGATTGCAGTTGCTTCAGGAGCATCTGACAAAGCAGAGCTCGGTGTTGAACGACATCGAACCTGCATTACAAGCTCTAGGAGACTAAAATTCTTGTGCCGTTGTTGCAAGCTTATGCAAGCATCCAAGAGCCCGACATGTCCAGGAGCTGCAAGGCAAACGAGACTGCTTGTGATGGAGGTAGCGACAGGAGCCTCACGGCGCAGTAAACGCACAGCATAGCACAATGCTACGAGATGCTACAAGATGCTTCATCAGCGGCAAGCGTAAGCAAACGCCAACGGCTGCAATCAGTGGATGCCTGTGCTCAAAGCACCTGAAAAAGGAAAGAAACGGGGACCTTTTGTCAAGCGAGCATTGAGATGGCACAAGCTGGGGCCGAAGAAGCCAAGAAGCCAACGTCCACAATTGTGAAACTTGGGCACTCGGCTCTGCAACAGCCCACTCCGAGTTCAGCGAGTCGGGTTGCAACCCCTTCATCGAAACTGATCTTTCGGCGGCTCCGCGTTACAGGTTGGGACTGTCTGCAATAAGCTCACTTGCTTCGGATCGTTTGGCCTGTCCCTTACCAGCACTCGGCGCCACACATAATTCTTCACCTTGGATCAGACGACTTCAAGAAAACATCCAACAAGGGAGAACACCTTCGTCACATCCTGAGTCTACGCGATCGCGAGTCAGTCATTGAAGAACTGGCCTTTGATGTGTTGTGCTATGCGTGCGTGTAGCTATAGTTCGTCGTGGAAGTCTTGTACAGCGAAGGCGAAGCTACGAACCTGCAGCATGCTGCGAAGCTTCGCTGCTCATCATGGTCATATCGATATCCTGAAAAGGCTTGCCACGGATACTCTCCTGAGCTCCAAATTCAAGGGTCGATTGCAAACAGCTCGCCCATCCATCACCCGCCCGACTGTGAGTCCAGCACAGGCATATAGTCGGTCTTACTGTGCAGGCTCCAAGTTCCAGCAGCTTTCGAGCACCGGACGGGCGGATCAGGTATGCCTGCGTTCCGGCATAAAATCCAGCAGCTGGAACCTTCGACCAACCAGCCTCGGGATTCTGAAAGAACTCAGAAACATTGCCACTTCGAACCGCCTCGTCCCGAAAACCCAACTGCTACTGGTAGGATTTGGAGTTGCAGTGTCGGGAATGGAACGCGATGCCGGTGTTTTCATGCTGGTTCACAGTTGCTGGTTGCCTGCCTGAGCCTTTTTGGCCTGCCCGTACAATTGCCCGCCTGAGTCTCCCCCCCTGCCTGCTCATTAAAGCAAAATTCCGGTGCAGTTGCCCCGAATGTTGTATTGCCTAAAAGCTGTCCTCAGCGCCACTTTGTCCTGAAAACCTAACTCAGCCCCGCTTGTCGGGTGGGGATCAAGGATACGTCCTTCCCCCTGCCCAGTGCACGGCATGCTGCCACGAGACGCCATGCAGGAGCTCGTACAGTGCCGATGTCACGAGGTCCCAAGGCCGCAAAGGATCCTTGGCCTCAAGAAATGGGCCCGGTAAGGAGCTGTTGCCAACCTGTCGAGGTGCCACAGCCCAGCACAAGCCACTGCACAAGCCACTGCACAGCCCCAACACAGCCCCGCGTCATCCAGCTATCGAACGACTCGGCGCGACAAAGCTCCAGCCTGGTCTTCTGCGCGCCAGTGCCCAAAGAAGAAAAGCTTGATGACCTGTCAACAGTCGACGGCCAACGTACGAATCGCACCTTCCTTTTCAAGTGGATCAGGTGGGAGGTGACTTTGCAGTGGTCAGGCGCGCGTCTTAACTCGTTGTCTTCTCGGGGCCTCGGCATCCTGCGGAGCCAGTGGAAGTTCCCGCTTCATTCGCTCGCGCCAGCCGGGGCAGAAAACCACGTCATCTTCCATGACCAAGTACCACGGATCACCTGAGGGCTTTTTTGGGGAACTTTGAGATGCTGGACTTCTGCTGAACTACAGAAAACACAAAGGCAAAACACAAAGGCAAAACACAGAACATTGGCTACAGCTGTTGCTGAGCCGGCCGGCCTTCCAATTCCCCTGCGATGGGTCGGGTGGGCAGGTTGCCATTGGCAAGGTCACGCCACAGTCGCACGTGAGCTGCAGCAATGGCTATGACCTGAAGATCTCCGGAGAACCACTGCTGGAACGAAGTGTGCTCTTTCTTTACGGATGAAGCAGAGCAGACTTCCATCACAGGTCCTGCCTTCGGCACGCACTCGTGATGATCATGCTGAAGCAGCTCATCGATGTTTTTTGGCGATGGTCTGAAAAGATTGCTCCAAAGCTCGGACATGGCCGCACCTCAGGGTAGCACCAGTCCTTCACGGCTTGTCATCCTCAAGATGTGACGGACATGTGGTTTTGCAACGCCCGCCGAGGTTTGGCGGCTTGCCGGGAGAGGTATGCATACAAACCATCCAGTTGCTGACGGTGGAATGCAGGCTGGCTGCATTGCCATACCTTGCCGCTGGACAGCTTCCACATTTTTCAATGAGCATACAAATGCAAACCTGTGAGCCCTCCAAGTGGATGGCTCCTTCAGAAGTTGCATAGCTTCAAGGACCTGTCGCCAACACACTTCAAAGCATGACCGTGGAAAGTGCATGGGAGAGAGTCAGAGAGAGAGACAGAGAAGAATCCATCAGCAGGTCCAGCCGGCCTCTGATGGCATTTTTCCATTGTAGCCGCGCCTGAATCAACACAGGCGCGCGACTCGGTAGACACTCGCAACAGCCTAAGTCAGGATGCTCGAAGCGGTCTTGCAGCCATGAGACACCATTTCTGCGGAGACACCCATATCCTCCGACAGGCCACAAAACCACGACATCCACAAAGGACTCGCGCATGTGTGTGTGTGTGTGTGTGTGGGTGTTTGTGTTGGTGTTGGTGTGTGTGTGTGTGTGTGTGTGTGTGTGTGTGTGTGTGTGTGTGTGTGTGTGTGTGTGTGTGTGTGTGTGTGTGTGTGTGTGTGTCTGCGCGTGCGTGCGTGCGTGCGTGCGTGCGTGCGTGCTGCAACGGTTTTCGGGTCCAGCGGCACATGGGGCAAACTGTTCGTCAACACGCTTTCCTGTCCTGGAGCTCCGCCTCTGTGACTTTGTACTTCTCGGGTTCTCAGATGAGCATCAAGATGTTGTGCGAATTGAAGTCGCGCATTCAACAAGCACTGACTTATCCCTGGCGCAAAAGCTCAATGTATAGAGCCCATCTTTGCTGAGGGCTGTACCGATGGAAACCACGAACGCTTCTCGAAAAAGACCACTTTCTTGATGAGCCTCTTGGACAATGCGGCCAAGATGGGCCAAGACTGCCCGCTTTCATTGCTCGTTCTCGAAAATAGGACTGTGCATGTGAGGCCACCTCTTCTGGGACAGTAGTCCTTTGGAGCCTGTCCTTCAGTCCAGCTGCTCTTTGCATCAAGGATAAGCACTCGCCTTACATCGACTCAGCACAGTTTTGCATAGAGGGCATAGTGCATGCATGTGCATGACACAAGACTTCTGCATCTTGTCGTCAACACTGCAGCATCCAGCCCATCCATGACTCGCAAGAGCCAAACTGACTTTGCACATTGCTGCGGGCTTGATTCTTGTATCACCCTCAAGAGGTCAATTCAGACATCGTACATAATTTTTACTTAGGGAGACTTGTCCAGGGGTAAACAATGATCAAGAGCTGTCACACCTTGTTGTCCCACGCAGGAACTGTTGTCGTCCTTTCTTTGTTTGTGCTCATTGCTTTCCTCTTCTCTTCCGCCTGTCTTGTCTGATAGTTGCCAATCGAAGGCTTGAAGAGGAGGATCAAACGATACAAAGACGTAACGAAACAAAAGACCAGAGAGAGAGAGAGAGAGAGAGAGAGGACCACAGGGGCGGTTTCCACGTACGAGCAGTCCCCCCAGTGCTGCTTTTGATGTTTAATTCACGATGTTCGTTTCCTCTGCTCTCAGTACTGACAAGAAAGGAACAAGACAAACAAGAGAAGAGGATGAATGACGTGGCATTGAACCCATGTTGTCGATGCACGTTTCTGTTCTTATGTTTGATATGAATTTGTGGTCTCATTTGAAGAAAAAAGTGGATAAAGGTGCTTTTCTTTTGTGTACGAAACAAAGACAAGAAAGGATAAAGATGCAAAGCTGCATACCCAAAGAAATGTAAGAAACAAGTAGGGGCCCATGAGCCTTGGCAACTTCAGAACCTCCAGATTCATATTTTTTGGCAATTTCGTACAGCATGAGAGCTCCAGCTGACTGAATTCATCAAGAACAGCTACATTTGTCTACATGTGCAGTTGCCCAATATACCAGGGATTGTTGTGTACATCTGTAGGATGATTCACACACATTTCTTTCTGTAGGCTCTGTTGAAAAAGGCTGCAGACAAGCATTTACACTGACAGTGCTCCGTACAGAATGTGCCTTTGAGCCTGAAGCGACAGGCTCCTCTTTGCTGCTTGTGCCATGTTGTGCCACTGTCATGGGCAAAGGTAGGCAAATGTGGGCAAAGGTGGGCAAAGGTGGGCAAGGGTCTATGAAATGCAGCCCTTCGACTGACATCGTCGAGCAGGAGCTGCAACCATACAATACAGCAAAATGTATCTGCAGCTTCTCCAGCTTTAAGCAGGCGTCTGTGCAAATCCTCATTCTCCTCATTCTCCCATTCATCTGCGTCGTCGGTTGTGATGCCTGGCTTTGCAAGCTTTCAGGCCCTTTATCGGCCATAGCTTCAACCATTGGCGTGGAGGTCTTGATGTGCAGGTGCTTTGGAGTTCTGAAGTGCACGCAGCGCCCAGTAACCCAGTACACTCCCGTACACTCCCGTACACTCCCGAACTCATTGGCAAGCCCATGCAAGCCATGGGTCGTTCGCTGATTCCAAGCAAGAAGAGCGATAGTCCGACGCCAAGTCGTCGCCTGAGACAGCCAATGCAGTGCTATCACAACACGTGCCGAAGGCCCTAGGCCCCCTGACAGTCAATCACTCGCACCCACCGTTCTCTGCTTGATCTGATTCTTTTCAGGCTTTAGCCTGGACTTTGGATTCTTTCTGTGAGCTCCGGGTTCTTGGGGGTTTTGAGGGTTTAGGCTTTCATCGGCTTTTAAGGCTTTCAGGTTTGGATGCTTAGGGAGGATCATGGGCAGATGAGGCTGAGGTGTTTGAGAGGTTTTTGGAACTCGGTCAACCAGGGTGTTTGGGACTGGACTGGGTCTTAGGGTCGGGGCTTCCGGTTTGCGCTTCTACCGCGTTGGGGCTGTTCGGGTTTCGAGCTTTCGGGCGCTCAAGACTTTACAAGATAAGCTTCTGACGTTTTAGGGCGTATGCTTATGGCTCAGGGAAAGGAAGTTGCCAGGATTTTAAAAGGCAGGGCTGTTATGTTTTTGACGTTCGTGCCCGACTTGCGGCACATCACATGGATTGGCTTCTGGGTTCCGGGGTTTGGCTTTTTTCAGGGGCTGAGCGTGGGGAGGAGCGTCTGACCAAGAAAACACACGAGCAAAGGCAACAAAAGAGGGCACAATCGAGGCAACACAACAAGACACACGTGAGCACACCTCCTGCCCTGACTTAGACTTAGAAGGGCCAGTGTGTTCCCTTCATCCATCAACCTACTCTCTCTTCTCCAGATCTAGGCTCGGAGGAGTTCACCCGACTTCCGGCAAACCATGTTTTATCTCAAGCGCAGCAAACCTCAAAACCTAAATTGCGAACTCCTCCACGAGCAAAACCAAGCCTGTCTCAAGATGCGCCCCCCAGGAATCCAAATTTCAAGCCATCCCCATTCTATACGCTGTGGCACAGGCGCGGAACGGCGCACAGGCTGAATTGAACCCCAAAGCTCAGACTCTCAAGCCCGCCCCGAAGTCCGAATGCTTTACTAAAACCAATTGTGCCCATTGCCTCAAAAATCCTCAGCTCCTACATATGTGTACCTAGTGTACGCTACAGTAATTTGTACTTCGTGAGTCACAGGCCTCTGCGAGAGCATCAAATCGTCCAATTGTGTTGGACCTCGGTAAGTCGTCAAGACTAAGTGACGTGACCTTGATAAAGGCTCAAAAGTGCTTCTACTTTTTCCAAGACTCAGGCCCAAGTAGACGTTCGGTTCACTTTCAGGACGGCTCTGGCCATCGGGGCGATGGCTTGAGCTTGAAATCCGCAGCACGGCTGGCAATGCAATGGACAGGCATCATCGAACCAATGCGAGGATGCTCTGTTAGCCAGCATGGTACGTAGCACATGTTCGAAGCAAACCAGAAGCACGTCGAAGACGGTGCGACATCTTTTACTACAGTACAGTAGCAAGACGCGCATGTTGATCACATTAATCAAGCAGTGGCCTGTTGACCGCGTTTGTCTTGTCGTGTTTCCTAGGTTTGTGTCGCGCCATATGTAGCACACGCATACAAAATCACAGCCGCATGCAACCCGTGTGCGACCAAGGCACGTGGTAAACAAATAATGTAGTCTGGACAGCTCCAAAGAGTGCAAGGGATCTGTCATGCCGTACATTTGTGCCTCAGATATGTTGAAGCTTTGGTTCACATTCTCAAAAATTTAGCCTGACCTAATGTTCGACCACTACCACCAAAGGCTGTTCCAACCGAGTTTGAGGCGAGTGTTCGCGCCATGTCGTGCTGCTGCAAAGACAGAAGATGCTCCACAGCTTCACTCACCTGCCGCTGCCCAAGAGGTGCAAATCAATTAACAATAGCAAGCACAGATCCAACAGCATGATTCGACATTGTGCCTGCAACTTGCTCATGTCCTCAATTTCCTGACAGGGCATGGCAAGTTCCTTGCAATGATTGAACAAGCGCGTGTCCTGTCCTGCCACACTTGCCAGCGACCCTCTGAGACTTGGAGAATCTTCTCGAACGAGACCATCCTCAAATCATGCCAGCATCGTTCGGAAAAGATCTGACAGGGCAGTAGGGTGGCTGCCGCTGCAGAATCCGGCGAAGCTCCTCACGACTGACGACCAGTCAAGAACTACGTGAGCCAAGTCGCTCCATGATATGGTTGGCTCTGCATTTTTTTAAATGAACTGTTGAAGAATGGCTCTCTGAGTGCTGCTGGCGCAAAGACATTTGATCGAGCCCTCTCCTGCTTCAAGGCCGCAGCTCGTCCTGCCTGGCAGGCGTTCGCCAGGCGTTGGGAGTTGAGAGTTCGGTTGGCGGGGTCTTACTGCGCCGCCTCGTTGCTGTCTGCACTTGGCTCATTCTCAATGCCTTGGTGTGAGCGCCGGCTTTCGGTTGCCCTGAATTCTGAATGCGGCTTGGCTGAACTTTGAGGAACTTCAACAGCTTGGCACAGCTACTGCACAGCTCTCAGCACTGGGCGGTGTAAACACATAGAGAGGGTCTGCACTGCTGTGTCGACGTCCCAACGTTTGTACCTGTGCGCTACACATCGCATCTGGAAGCTGCACCCTGCGACTTCAGGCACCTGTCCAGGGTCAGCTGCGCTGCCAGTGTGTGGCCCTTCACGCGGTACATGCACCTCGGAGCTGGTGCGGGTGGGTGAGTGGGTGCTTGTGTGCGTGTGTGGGTACGTCTGCTGAGGATGCTGAGGCCGCTTCTCGTGGTCCAGGAGCTCGCGATGCACGGCCTCGTTTGACTCGTAGCCAGGTGCCAGGTCGTGAGGACCTCATGTTTTTGAAGCCCGTCCCAACCGCCCTTCGACATGTAAAACGCCACCATGTAAAGCCTTATTCAAGGTCCTGAATTTGGCCTTCGCAAAATTCTGCAGCAACTGCTTTTGTGGAGTCATCTTTGTTTAGGAAGGCTTTCTTTCTATCAGGATATGCAGCAAGTATTCTGATGTTTGCCTAGGCTCGGCCGAAATCGGCCGAAACGCTCTGCAAGTTTTTATGGAGGCCTTGATTCGTAGGTCTTGTAAGAATATGGTGCTGGCAGCGGCGTGCATGGTTCTTCTGACATGATTTCTATCATGGGGTCAAACTCCCTGGTCCTGAAGACCACCCCGACTTGGGCTCGGCGAGTTTTATCTTCATCCATCATCGGCATCATTTGCGCTCGGGATTGCTGCCGGAGGCTTGAGTCGTGCAAGGTATGCAGAACCACCCAGAACATCGCCGCTCATACAAATCGGCTATCAGCTGCTGCTACCGCTCACTGATAGGAATCGTAGCCCGAAGCCTCCACCCCCTCCCCTTCCCCCTGATGGACCGCACGAGGCCTTAACGTTGCCTATACAGCTTGCATTATCCAACCATCCGGCCAATTAGATTTCAAAGCGTAAGCAAGAACGAGCATGTTCTACTCCGTTCAACCCAGCAATAAAAAACGAACTCCTTCGCAAACTGCAAACGCAAGTTCCGCACGCGCCCTAATTATTCTACTCCTAGTCCAACTCCCCAACTACCAGGAAGTGAGCTCCGGGACGTGTCGAAGCCTTAGCCCCAAAAGCCGCACCAACTCTCTTCCCTGCAGGTCTAGCATGCCCGCAAGCTCCTCGGGCAAAGTGCAGGCGAGCGCGTGCGGAGCGACCAAGAAAACAAAACCCCAACACAGAGATGTGACATGTGCGGAACACGCAAGAACTCCGAAATAAAGTAAGGAAATTCCCAATTTAAAGATGCTTCCCAGATCAGCAGAGGGTTGCTCTCTGCTAATTTCCCCTTCTTTTGAAAAGTGAGTGCTTCTGCCAGCTCGTCCGCGCGGCTATTTTAGATAGTCTGGCCGGCGACGTTATGCACCAGACTGCGGATTGCAGAACACAGGATGATGTCCAACTTGCGGACTCTCAGCCCAGGGCTCTTCAAGTACAGGTCAAGCACGCGGTCTGTCAAGCCACTGTCCACTGACAAATACCTCGCTATTCGTCGGTTGGACACATCACCCGTTCATCTTCATCATGTTACTGTTTGCCAAAAAGGAAAAGGAAAAAGGCGGGAAAGGGCACTCATCACATACTTGAAGTGCCACCTCATAGCGCTCCTCTGCCTGAGCTCAGTGCTTAAAACCTGCTCAATTGAGACTTGTATGAGGATTCATCGGGCACTCGACGATGAGGGCATTCACAAGCTTTGTGAATGCCGCTGACATGCTTGCCTCATTTGCAAGTGTTCTGCCGAGTGGAGGTCGATCGAGAAGTGATCCGCTCGCTTGGCCTCCTGATCATCGCCAGCCGCTTGCAAAGCCAGCTGATCCTGCTTAGGCCCAGGGCAATGCCAATGCACATGCGTTTCAGCATCAAGCCAAGCCCATCATGTTGAGCGCCCACTCCTCTGGGTCAAGCCTTGCAAATTCCTCCTCCGTGTACCCGATGCCTGTGAGATGCTGCAATGGGCAGGGGCTCGTAGTCATTACAGCCGCTGGAGGTGCCTTCCGAGTCCTCAAGTTCCACAGGCTCCTCCCAGGCGGTCAACCCTAGGCCGTGGGCCTGCAAATGAAGAGATGAGTCAACTTTGAAAGCCTCAGGCCTCAGGTTCGCGAACGGTCTTGGCTTCGGGTGCGTCGTATCTCACCTTGCAACGCGAATGAGGATTTCCGGGGGCTCCCTGGGCATGATATCACGGAGAGATACTGAGCATCACACCTGCAGGCAGGATGGGAGGCTTCCAGCATCCTTGCCCTGCACAGTTGCTCGACTGTTGCACTGTTGCTCGAGCGGGCATCGGAGTGCTTCGCTTTGTGCAAGGTTTGCGCAGGGAGGTTGCTTAGCGCAAGCTGACCGGACTTTCCTCGAGCTTGCCATCTCGCTGGCAAAGCGCTGAAAAAGCTTCACAAGTTTCGGTCCACAAGCTGCTGCAGTTTTGTTTGCTGGTGACTGGCTTCGGAACTTGCCGCGATAAAAAACAGCCAGCGCCTTAATGCATTTTGTGCCTGTGAGGCTCTACCCTCTAAACCCGCCGCCTCGGATCGAGCATCTGCCCACCGTATCGCGCGCAATGTGTGCCAACGCTCCTGCTGGGCACTGCTGCAGTATCCTCTTCAAGAATTTCATTGAGAATGCTTTGAGAAAGGGCCTGAACCCACCGGTGTAGTGCTGGAAATCGTCGGCTTTGCTCCTCGCTGCCAGGAGTGCTGCTCATGTGCCTTGTGCCTTCTTCGCACAAGGCCATCCGCAATGCTCAACTTCAAATGCTGCTGCGAGAATGAACTCCAGATACCTTGCCTTGGCGAACCGGAGCATGGGCCACGAAGGCCAGCGCTGACCGCGACATTCCAAACAGGCCAAGGTAGCCAACAAAGGCGCCTTCCAAGTCTGCAACAACTTGCGCCCTTCAGAGGCATGTGCCACCACCTGCCTCGGAACAGCGTACTCGAGGCAGTGCACGCTCATGCTGTGCGAGGTACTGCACCACCTGTTGCATCAAGCCGTCCCTGCCCTGCACGCCTTGAACTGACAATTCCAGGAAAACGGAGTGCAACTGCGAAACCATCTGAAGTACGAACTGCAAAGTATAGCTTCATTGCATTTATGATAGATAGTACCGGTCTCAAAGGTTGACAAGGTCGCTGAGTTGCATGAACCCACATGGCCCTCGAAGGGCAAGTGCGTGCCTCCATGGACATTGGGTACCTGCCAGCCAGATGCATGTCCGAGTGCAAAGTTGACGGCAAGCACGGAGTCAGGATGTGCCTTGGAAGCGTGCTGAACACGTTGTGATGGCTGAGCTCCTGCAGCGTCCAAGCAGAACTTGCCCCGAGTCAAACAAGCCATTGCAATGCAAAGGGCCCCGACTCCATCACTCCACTTGAAAGATGCATTCACAATCACCTGAAGTGCCGCAAGTCAGCTAGGCCCTAGGCCCGTCTTGCAGCTTCTGCAACTGTACTTGTCGTATGTCTTCTAACAGGGAGTGAAATCTGTGCTTTACGTTCTTGTTTCCAAAGCCAAGGGTAAGTGTTCACAAGGAACTGAAGGCTGAAGAATGCTGAAGACTTCACATGAGTTGCGCATCATTGAGTTCCTCTTCTACGATGCGCTTGCCGAAATCACAAGGTGCCTGTTTCCACAGAAGGCTTATGCGTTTAGCGACCACTTCCTGGTGTACTGCTTGTGCACACCTGCTCGGTGGTGGAGGGTGGGTTTATAGGATTTTTTGGGACAGAGCAATTGGCCATTTCACGTTTTGAGGATCTGGCTTCAACGATATCGATGCTCGTGATCTCTGACAGCGCCAAAGCCTTCCAAAAAATGGAAAGGTTAAGAAGACAGGGTCGTCCTGAATGGGCGTATGGGCACAAGCACTTGGCCTGGCGATGGCCACCCAGTTCGAACAGCAGCCTTGCCACGATGCCCTTGGGCCTCACGCTGCCAGACAGCCACAGCAGTACTTTTGCCAAGGCTGTCAAAGTCAACGAGGGTTTCACGAAAAGTCATATGGACGTGTTTGGGGGTCTGGCGGCTCCGCGAGGACATCAAACAGCTTGGTCACCCCAGCCGCCTGCCATCAGCTGTCTTTATGTCGTGCAACGCTGCTACAGACAGTGTCCGCACACGTATTCTCAAAACGGATAGCAGGTGTAGAAGCAACACGTATCATTGCTGTAAGTCTCAGCAAGCGCAGAAACACTTTGCCTCGTCCATAGTCTCCTCGTTCATCTCGACTGCGGTATCTGCTGAAGCGCTTTCAAACCTGCAAAGACAGGCGAGGCACAACAGAGCTGCGATCGACATCCGGCCAGCTTGGCATCCGGCGTCACCGTGACTGCTTCACGTCGTCGCGCTGCCTCAAGCCAAAGACGAGCATACCAGGCAGAGAAAAGGGATAGGATTTGAGGCGCTCGACAAGGCCAATGGCCTCCACCGGAGCCTTCTTGACCTTCCGTGGGCCAGCATCCTGCTCAACATGTACTCACAACGCTTCCTGCGATGCCATGGAAAATGCCGACATCAGCCGTGCTTCCACTGCTACCACAGCCCTTGCCCAGCCGCAATAACCCATGTGACAAGTTAAGGTTCATCAGCCGTTCATCAAGCTCCTGCGAGGCTGAGTGCATGAGATCAGCTACTCTTGCCAAGTAATCCAGAAAGCGAAGGAGGTACCTGCTGCAGTTCAACAATCAGGGAACAATGAGGGAAGCACAATGCTGTTGCATCCACTGAGCTGACATCTCCCTTGTGCCTTGAGGAACCTAACCCTTCCGAGATCTGAACAGCATCCTCGCCTTAGGATAAAGGGGCAGGTGGCGATCGAACCCGTTCAGCTCTCCCTGCATGGGGGTATGGGACACTCCCAACTTGCTTCCAGGTTCGACAGTAGTCCAATCCCTCCGCACGTTCTCTGAACCTCCCCACCCTGCAGCATATGGCTGTGGCTCAAAACACGGGTGCGTCACTGTGCCCCACCTCTGTTACAGACGTAAGCTGGTCTTTGGACTTGTCGGGGAGGGGGGCTGTCGCAACAAGAACGGCTTTGTTACAACCCCTGTCTCGCAAAAGGGGCCTGCAACATCCTGCAACATGTCTTTTTTTAGTTGCCGCGGCTCTAGGGTGCCCTTTGAATTCTGTGGACGGACTTGCTTGGAGCTGTGGGGCATCACGGCAGCGACAGAACAACCTGGAGATCTTCAGAGTAACGATACAGAAAGACAAATGTGACAAGGACCTTGACCACCCGATTGCAAACCATGAGCAGACTTCAGTTTAAAGTGAAAGCGAAACGAAAGCTCATCTGAATCTGTGGCGGCTACGGTCACCGGCATCAGTCCCACCCACCTGGCATGCTTGCAGCCCTCGTCTACAGCTTCACGTATGCAAGCATCTTCGTTCAGAAGAATCACACGGGGTTACTCTTTCTCCGGCAGTTGTTCATTCATGCTGCGTTCAGCATAGTAAGGCGGTGCTAACCTGCAAGAGGATGTGACACGAATCCCTTCATGTCTGAACTCCTTCAACGCCAAAGCCTCATGTAAACTAATCTAAGGAGGTCTCGTGCTCTCTCGGGCCACACAATGTCTTCCTGGGTCCGTTGCTACTTCATCACGTCTAATTCTGAAAAACGGACGATTGGAATGATGCACCCCAACTGTTCCAACTGCAGTAATTTCATTGTTGCCTGCACATTGGCATGGCCCGGGTTAATCACAGAAAACATAGCAAAACATAGCAATGATGGGCCTTCGAGCTGTCCTCCTCCTCGTGGTTGAGAGATGTGATGGCCGTCGACAGAAAGTCCACCTCGACGTCTAAAGCTGCTCTGCTTCAGAAAGCCGATTAAATAGATTTGTACAGGGCAACACTCGGGATCCGAAAGTTTCTGAATCGGGAAATCTCTGAATCACGCTAAGTAGTTGCTGGATCGCGCTAGTTTAGCTTTTTGAGGAAGCGAGCATTGAGATTCTGAATCAGCAAATAACTTTTTCGGAGTTGGGTGTTGTGGGTTTCCTCCTTGTCAAGTTGTGGGTGTGCATCTTCGTTGTTGCATCGGGCATGATGTTTGGAGACGTGTCCGCGCGGCGATGGGAAGGCAGTAGCAAGGCGAATACCATGCAGCATCAAGCAGACTCACCCTTTGCCCTGGTTCGTAGTGCACGGAGTAAGCCTTCTTCATCCGGTTTCCCATTAAAATTCTGAGCAGCTAAACATTCATCACTTAATCGCTTAAACGGACTGCTTGCATCAGTCTTCCCTGTAGTATCGCATCCTTTCGTGGCATCGGACGTCTTTTTCTTCTTCATTGGTAAATGCGAGGAAGTCTGCTCGGTGGATTGGCAGCACCCGGCAGAATGTCCTTGTTGTCCAGGCACCGCAAGCATCTTGCCGCACATGTGACAGCTCATTGTGGATTAGAAGCTAAGTGTGGCACGCAAGAAGCATGCAGTTGTGGGGGAGTGTTGCCACCACGGTATCTTAAAAGACATGACCTGGCATCGATGGCGAGGAAACTCGGTGACATTGCCCGGGGCATTGTGCCATGGGAAAAGCGAAGAGATTGGCCCCTGATGCCTGCCAGACTTGATGTCGTGTTGAGACCGACAGAGTTTCACGATTCTCCCGCCTTGGCAAGTTGGGCGGAACGCTGTCAAAACATGCCACATGCCTAACTCATCGCAATACATACTTTAGGGCATCTCCCGTAAAGTGGCTGTGTACGCCCGATTCTGGATCCAATCGAGCAGCCCATGAAGCCATAAATTGCCCTCACTTGTAGCACCGCTGTCACGAACGCACCCGAGGGGTCACGCTGCGGATGCCCAAGGCGTAAGAAGTGCTCCACGGCCTTTTGACAAGAATCGAACTGCTACTTGCTCATTGCCAGCTGCCATCAGGAAACGACATTTCCGAGTGCAATTTTCGCAGCTGCCTCTATGTCGGCTTCTCGAGGCTTTGTCAAGGCTTGCACCTCTGCCTTAGTCTTGCCATGGCACATGCAATCACGTAGTACGAATTCGGCGAATGGGATCCGGCTAGGGAATCTTTAATCTGCTCTGAACATTACCACACAGAAGTTGGGCAGGAAGCCGAAGCAAGCTCACTCAGCAGAGACAGAGAGTGGCCTTGGAGAGATAGTTGCCATAGTCGGGGCTGCCTGGATCGGAGATGCGCTGCAGAGCAGCCTGCAGCTGGTCAGTGTGCTGCCTGAGTGCAGGCAGAAAGCATACTATGCCTCAGCTCAAGTGATGGCCCCCTGGGCCTCACCTGGGCCTCACCTGGGCCTCACCATGCTTCCTTCCCTGCCCCTTGCTGAAAAATTCCAAGCTGCCGCACCGCGCATTGCAGGATCACATGCTCCTGCCCCACAAACTGATGAACTGATGCTTTCTATTTAAATGTAAGATGACATGTGTGAGAGGTTGCAGCAAAACCCTCAGACGTTCCTCCTCATGGACTTCCTCCTGTCAGGGCCAGCAGTTTGTCGGCCATGCATAGTACAATTGTGAGAGCAAAGTGGGTCCTCCGTCCATTCAGTCGCTTGTGCTCGTTGCCGAAGACTTTGCAGCACCGTGCTCTGTGGCAAGGCACCGCCTGAAAGATCGGCCCGATGTCGAGCATCTTGAAAACGCTCACTGAGGCGCCAAGGGGCACGCCAGCAAGGGAAGTGATGCCAGTAAGACAACTTCCATGGCAACGGCCGCTGGCCGATCAAAGGACAACCATGTGAAACTGCAACATGAGCAAGTCAGATGATTCGGCTACTGTAAGCTACAGTATTCTACTGTGTGTTCGTTCTTTACCTCTGCATCCTCTTCCTCCTGCAACTGCTGCTGCTAATTTGTGCTGTGACTCCGGGAGCAGTAGCATGCAATAGCCGGCCGAATTGGACTCATGTTCTTTAACAGTTCTTTAACTCACACTGCAAGGCTGGGCTTCCTGCGAGGGTTCTTTGCGAGGCTGATGTTTGTCCTCGAACCCATGCATGTGCATATGCACCCACAAGCACACGCACGGTCACGCGCGCGCGCTCGCTCGCCGGCGAGCCAGCAAACACCGACACATCACTTGCTTTCTCGGACATGGACATGCTTGTCAGTGGACATCGCATCGCAAGTTAAGTTTACATATCCCTGGCTGTAGGCCCTGGCGCCCTCCCTGCAATTGGTTTCGACTTCTGCCGTCCTTTCTTGACCAAGTCCACACTTTCCACCAGAGACAAGATCGCATGGCGTTGAGTGTGCAAGCGATTCAGGTGTGACCTGACTGGTGGACAGTATTGAGAATTAGTTCTGTCCAGCATGTTCATGTCATGAAAATCATAAAAAAAGACCATGAACGTAAGGTTCTGGCTTTAGCAGCGCCGGCTCTGATGGTAGAGTCTCAATGCCCAGGATGATGGAAGCCAAGGAGGCTCGGTCTGACGAAAAGCACAAGCTTAACAAAGCACAAGTCATCCGGTGTCAGCGTCGCCTCGAAGCTCCGGCCGCACTTCTATCAGGACTAAGAGCCTTTCCACCTCTGCACTGCCGCTGCTCCAAACGCATTCTTTGCGCTTCTCTGTAGGGCTTCTGCCCATGTCTGGAAGAAGCTTCGCATGGCGTCCGCCACGACAGGTTCAACGCCCGAGCCAACCTCCTGCTCACGAAGCTTGGTGCTATTGGGGCTCGCAGGGCAATAGGACAACATAGCAAAGAGAGAGAGAGAGAGAGAGAGAGAGAGAGAGAGAAGAGGGAACTCATGCAACTTTCATGGCAGCTGATGCAGCCACTTGGACATGGCGCATGCTCGAATCCAGGCTCCTCGGCAGCAAGCCAAGGTGTTGCCTCACATCTCGTCATGGCACAACAGCATGTCAGAATTCGGATTTCGCAACAAGCACAAACGCAGTTGATCGGTTCAGGCGCATGTGACCTGCTTCAACAGGAAAGTGCTCATCTGGCTGAAAGGAGCTGCCGACACCTGTGCGCAGCCCGAACTTGCGAGGTTACATGACCTGTTTCATGACACACTTCACGACCCCTTTCGCTAGGCGTTGCATACCAAGGCTCTGCAAGATCCACGAGGACATAGAACGCTAACAGCGGCCGAGACAGCAAGCCCAGCCTGAGTTGTGCCTACACTCTCCGCACCTCTCCGAGTTTCCCAACTTGTCGCCAAATCTGCACTGCGAAGACTAGCCATTTTCGCGCGACGCCGTATGGCTTGACAAAATGGGCCCGTGCGTAGGGGACATCAAGACTCGCCATACACAAACATGCCAAACACACTGTACGCGGTTTTATATGAACCGGCATACTTCACATCCGTGTCTCTTACAGCGCCAACGTGTGCTTAACTCATCTCATTCAACCTCTGGGTTTTGCTTTCGACGTTGGATCTGTTTTGCATTGTCGATGGCCGCGATGTCCAGCATGTTGGGCTCCAACGCTTGCACCGATTTGTTGGGTTCGACGATTTTGGTCAGTGGAAGCTGCCATAACAGTTATGTCAATCCATCGGATGACATCTGAAAGTTGATCTTCACTCAGGCGATCGTCCTCGTAGCATTGATCTTCAAGCATTCTCGCATCTTCTTTTCCAGGGATTTGTCCCAAGGACGCTATCTCGACGCTTAATCTTTTGTCCGGACGCTTGCTGCATTCCGGGTTCTGAAGCGTCTCCGCCAAGTCTATGAATCCGAACATGTCCGTCACTGTGGCCCTCATGGAGTCTCCATTCTCGGACCCAGCCTGAAGAGTGTAACCTCCCGCTTGTATGGACCTGCAAACCCTTTGCGCCAAATTGCTCGACCAACGCCTTGGTCACCCTTCCACAGGTCCTCAACAGATAAGAATACCATCCGCTCCTTGAGCCCTGCGGCCCACTATAGATGCCACATTGTTGATGAGCATATCTTCTCTTCGTTCGCACGCGACGCATCTGCAATCAAGGTTGCTAGGTTTGGTCCAGTCCAAGACCCCTGACCTTAACACGAGTCCACGTTCATAGGTCCCCTGCATGAGGGAGGTCAAAATTCGCACTGTACAAACATGCCAGACGCACTGTACACGCTGTTTACCGGGCATAACTCACACGAGATCTGCCCATGGCCCGCTAACAGCTGAATGCAGACCGAGGCAGCGGCACCTGCTGAGATTCCGAACCTTGTCATGCAGAGGCCTAGACCCTAGGGACACATAACCCTGAAAAGTCTTGGCTCTATTCAATCTCTTGATTGGAAGACCTTAATCGACAAGATTCCGTTTACCCAGCGTGATGCTCTGGGTGCTTCGGGGCTTAGGGCCTCTAGGCCCCAGGATGCTTCTGTTTTGGGAGTGTTTCAGGTCAGCCTCAGCAACTCCAGCCTTGAGCGGGAATTGTCCCAGCCAACCTCTCCAAGCAAGCCTCTGCGCACATCTCACAATGGAACACTTCAAGCATGGCTCCACGCCGACTCCATGCGACCAACTTTCAACAGCGCACAGAGCCGCTTGGGCTGCCCTTGGCAGCCAAACCAAGTCTGGAATCCGCAACCTTCGTGAAATCTCGCCGCCTCCAAGTCCTCTTCCAGCTGCTGGTCTAGTCGCGAGAAGTCACTGGCAACCTGAACTGCCCAGGCCAGCGTTCCATAATTCGATAAAGCTGGCAAGCGATGACATTGTTAGCCGCCGCCCTCCACAACCCACTCCCCCACCCTCCGTCCTTTTCAGCTTTCGACTCGGAGTCCTCCTGGAGTTCAGTGCTCAGTGCCGCACATCATTCTCTCGATTCAACTTCGATTCATCTCGATTCTGCGGCGCCTTCGCAGCTGGACTCTCCAGAAGTTGCCGCAACTCCTGCACCCGCACCCCCAACAGCCTCTTGACAGCCTGGCCTCGGCAACTCGGCAACTTGCAATTGCGGCAAACGGCCCGAAGGCAAGCATTGCGCAGTGAACAGCTGCCTTGAACTGTTCTCCAATCCGCACGGCCATTTCAACGCAACCTCCTGCACACGTACATGTCCGCATGGGAACCACGGATGTGCAGAAAAGAAGAGACCTGCCTTGCAAAGTTGGGAAGTGCTTCAGCAGCTGCCAGCCTTGATGTAAAAAACAATTCAAAGCTCTAAGATCGAATGATCCCAGTAAGCCATCATAGGCACCTCTTCCATCCTCTTCCCCACCTCTGGCATGACATGCTGAGCTTGTGGCTCAAGTCGTAGTCGTTCCTGGTATGGCTCCGTGGCTCCGTTATGCTCCAGTTGTGCACGTGTGTCCAGTTTGGAGCATGTGCGCGCATGGCATAGTAATGCATAGTAGCAATACCACCGAGTCTCATCTTCAAGGAGCGCTGCAGCAGCGTGGCTGGACCTGCATGCTAGCTCCACCCCAATACAACAAACTATCAAAGCTTTGTGGTATTCCATGGTTCTTGCATGTTCATATTGGCCAAGTCTTTAAGTCTTTGTAGGAACCGGGCACGCCAGCATGCGCGGAATGAATGTGGAAGGCAACAGTGACAACGGCACCTGACACATCCAGTCGCAGAGTTGGCAGGCATGGTATGAAGGAGGACTTGTGGAGACTTGTGGTGACCTCCATTGGGGTGCAAAGCTGGCGCAGCGGATGGAGATCACCAGAGACCTCAGAATGTCCGAATCATGCGGGGACACTCCGAGACTGCGCAGTCAGAGAGGCACCCGCAGCCTCGGGGCGCAAGGTTCCCTTCAAGGAGGATGCAGCGATCCCTCGACATGTCATGCGCACGAACAGCACAAACCAGACTAGAGTCCAGAGCACTAGAAGTGGCATATCAGGCGAGCTTTTCAAAACTCGACTTCGTCCACGCCCTCGCTATCCCTGGCTCAAGCCGCCTTGCCCTCCGAGGATGTCCATGTCGCCGACGATGACAGCACCCACTGCGGTAGCCCACTCCCGTGCTGTGCCCTGGCCGACTTGAGGCAAAAGCACAAACATTAAACACTGAAAGCTCTACCAAAAGGCATCAAAGCTGGTCAAACATGGTCCAATGGTCAAATGCAACTAAGGCGGCCCTGGAGCTGCCTCACACGGCCTGGCCTCCGTAATGCCGAGATCCCCCATGCGGCGTGAAGGTGACAAGGACACGAAGCCACCAGGGACAGCGAGCTGTGAGTAGATGATATAGTCCTTCAAATGCCAAGCTCATGAAATGGCAAGTGCAGAACATGTGAATTGCCATCAGAAGGCCCAGGATCCTTCAAGCATATGAAGATGCGCCATATGGTCTCCTGCACCCCAACAAAGCCCGATTAGAGTCCGGTGTGCGATGCAAAGCAGTGTGGACAATGTGGTGCAGCCTGTGCGAAAAGCTGGAGCTGCTGTATCGTCTGGAGCTCTGCTCCAAGTCCAGATGCCTGTGCCGAGGCCTTGGATCGCATTCAAGCGGCCAGTCTGCCAGGAGATGTTTGGCGGCTATAGTGAACAATAGTGAAAACCATGTGCTCTGTTCTCAGAGGTTCCAGCTGCCAGCGGTTGAAGGTGGTGCCGCAAAAGGATCAACAAGGACAACAACACTCTGGGCGGCACCTCAGCGTGCTTTTTGTCCGACTCACACCAATGCATGAGACTCGAGCACGGTAAATCAAGTGCAAGTTGTGCACGAGGAAATCTTCCGCGTGGGACGGGGTCGTGGAGCTGCGAGCTGACGAAAGGTGGTGATGCCTGCACGACATTCGGTTCGCAAAACATGTGCGCGCAACATCTGTCAAAATCACTGCAGCTTGCCTGGCGAAGCAAAGAGAAGAAATGAACAAGAACACGGACACCTGCCAACAATGCAACACCGGAGTTATTCAACAGCATATGGGACTCCTGCTTCGGCTACTGCGAGGGCTATATGCAATGATGACGGTTCGCGAGCATTCGCGGCATGCACTGGCCGTCCCACCCCCTTGCAAGCAAGCCAAGGCTTTTGCATTGCATGCCAGAAACCCCCCCCCCCGTCCCAGCAGCCTTCATGTGATTCCGCCCAATCGAGCTTATCAGGCCTCCAGTGCTCTCCAGCTCGATCCAAAACCATACGCACGCAACATCACACTGCAACTACACGTTGTGAAAGGGCGCGGCTGTCCAGCTCATGGATGCCGTCCTCTATGACCTCAGAGTAGCACAGCGTTCTGCTACACTGTTACAATGCAAGTTTCAGCCTGAGACTCGAAGCCTTGTGGCCGGGCGTTGCGCCCCCAGACTCTGACCTCAGAAGCGACAGTACTGGGACACTACTAGGGGCTAACGTGGGCCAAGAGCCACGAAGAGCTTGGCATAACTTTCGGAAAGCTCACGGCCCACCATCCACGCAGCTTTCAACCAGGTACATGGCGCACCGAACCTGCAGCTCATATGTGGCCACAAGCCACAGACGTAAGCTATGCCAGCTATGCCCATACTGTCATTCTGTTTAAGAAATGACACGTTCATTTGGGAAAGCCAACTGGGCAAGTGACAGTGTAGTAGCACCGCGCCAGGTCCAAGTCGTAGGAATGCTCTAAAGCAGCATCAGCCTGTACACACGAAGAGGAGCGGAACACATTGGAACGTCGTGGGATATGCACACTTGTCACTGCCCGCACGGACAGCTTTCGTGAGTGCTAGAAGATGTTTGATGACCGAACACTGGCACCTGTCGGAAGAACCTCGCAGAAGCCATAAACCCACCCAATTCGCCAGGTTATTATTAATTAGTTGAGGAGGCGTGCTTTAGAACCGAAGCTTTTGCTGCATTGCACCACCTTCAACCTGGCAATGCCAACATCACTGCAACCGGTCAAACTTGTCGGTGGCCTGTCGAAGCTGAGGCAGTGAGTGCCTGGGGGTGGTACATGATGGTACATGTACGTGGCCAGGCGCAAGCATGCACAGACAAGATCTAAGTTGCTGGACTTAATGTGATCACGCAGACTCCGCTTCGGCCAGGGAGCAGGGAAGAAAGCAGCGTGCGGCTGTCCACCAGGGGAAGATTGGGACGCATGACGTACAGAATGCCTGCGGCCAAAGCAGGCGACGAGTCAATCATCGACTGCGCATGAGAAGTGGAGAGCCAACGAAGGCTCGTTGCCCTCTCTGTTCCAGGCTACTCGACTCAGCAGTTTTCCGAGCCCGGCACTGTGGGATGTGACCCGGTCCAAGACGTCCGCTGCCTCAAGACATGCAAAGATATGCAAAGCTGCAAAGACCACAAGGTCAAAGATGCTCGGCTTACAGAGCTCCTGGCAACCTCGACCTGCGACTCTGCAGCGGTTTCCTGTGCCTGTCCGGGCAAACACGAAGATTGACGGATGCCATCGGATGCCCGTCACATTCTTACACGCCGTCGACATCGCCAGCCTCCGGTTCAGCTGCATCGGGGTCCGCGTTGATATCCAGATCCTTCGCTTGCTTAAGGCTGAGCCACTCTGCACAAAGTCTGCCAGCAGTGTGGAACCTAAAAACCAGCAGCTTAAATGTGGAGGGGGTGGGAATGATTCATCTCATTGCCCACCTGCTCGCGCATCTCCCGCTGATCTCGTTGCTTGCGCCTGAGGACGGGACCAGCGGAGCATTCGTGAGTGGTTCATGAGTGCCTGCTGAGCTATGCTGGCGCACAGGCATCGCACTGGATGCCACCGAGGCTCTCCTTCAACCGCTTTCGGTGATCCTGCCTGACCTTAATGCAGGCCATGCTAGGTGATCTCTCACTGTCACATGTAGATGACACATTTTTGGAACAATGAGGAAAGGAGCAACCGTCCACCGTTTGTCGTGGTGGTCCATGTGTCTTTGTCTTTCTTGTTTGTCCGGGCTTAAGGGGGCAGTCACTGTTGCCAGGATATGGAGGGAAAACCGAGAGCTGCAACAGTGGATAGATGCCTAACAACAGCTGAACATATTAGACATGTATCACGTCAAGATGCTCAAGATCTCTGTGTGATGTTTTCAGGGATCAGATCCGTACAAGCTTTTCAGAAGTTTTTACACTCCTAAGAAGCAAATAGAAACAAGTACACAGAGCAACAAAACAAATGACACCTGCCCGGACAGGCTCGAGATTTGAACATGGTATGCAAAAGTTGAAACTAAACATGTCCTAATGAGCATAATTTTTCTACAAGTACAATACTGATGTACCTGTTCATGCAAGGCCATATGCAGAAGCACATAAAGCATCATGAAGTTTATGAAATTAGTGTCTATACGTATAGAAATTTATTTAGATTGCAGGTTGAGGTAGCCTCTGATGAAACTCCAGAAACAGCCCTCCGATGGTGGCAAACGTTGAGCGGACATAGCACATGTTGATCAGACATGTTTGTGAAACAAATTCTGCCATTGGCCCGCCGCTGATTGCCTGTAACGTGTGTGTAGAAGCTACAGCATTTGCGGTTGGTGCTTGCCTCATGTGCGTGCAGCTGTTGCTTCCTGAAAATGTTGTACGCGGGCGTAATTCTCCCCACCCCTTAGGGCAAAGGACCTCTTCTGGCCAAGACAGACGAAGACCCCGCCTGCGACTAGACAAGGGCGCAATTGTCTCAAAAAGAGCATCCGACCCGTGGAGATGAAGTTTGCGCACCATGTGCGCCCAAGCCGACACTTCCCAACTACTCCGAAGCGATTCCGAAGCTTCCAATATGCAAGTGATTGGAACAGGACTTGTCAGCAAGGGGACTGAAGGGTCACGCGGACTTGCTGGGAGACCCGTCAAAGACATGGGGGCTTGGGAGTTCTCTGTTTGTATTGACCTCTCGGCTTCAAGAGGCTGTTTTCCTGACCCACTTAGGCAAGGCCTTGCTCAAGTTGCACTTTTTTGATTCGGGACAAGTAAAAGACATGCAGGACAAGCGATGAAATGGCGCAGCGCTTTGATTTGGATTCTTGGGTGCCGTGAAGAAGAATGTAACTAATGAAAAGCTTCACACGCCGCGCCTGCTCGACCACCACCTTCGATATCCATCCGGCAGCACTGAGCCGATAGCTGAGCACCTGGCCGCCGGTTTTTCATGGGCACGTCGTCGGCATCAGCAGGTACCTATTCTAATATGACTAATCTGGCCTCCACCCAGAAATCGACCAGCAGGTCTCCTACCTGACAGCCCGACAAACGCAGCTTTAGCAAGGATGCACAAATTTTCTCGATCACTGTCGATCAATGTTGCACACAATTGCATCCTCTTCCATTCGGCGCCTGCCTTGGTACTGTCTCGCAAGGTCTCCTGCGTGTAGCTCTTCCACAAGGTATCGAGTAGTTGCTGGAGGCTTTCCACCTGGGATCGGCATTTCTTATGCATCAGCTTGCGTGCCCCTACATCGCCCAGCATCAACAACAAGTCGCACACATCACGGCGGAACTCTTCCCAGCAAAGCAGCACGACCTTAAGGTCGTGCATGTGCCACGGCAAGAAAGATTATTCACGACCCTGCATGCTGATCATGCATGACCAAGAAGAGCCATGCCAGCTTACACCAAACGTCGGTCCACATTTCGGTCATTTATTGCCCGCAGCCATGGTCAGCAGCGTGCATCGGTCTAGTCGCCTCCCATAACCATGTCCGCGGCTCTGCTCCCTCCGGCCAAACTTCACCAAGTTCTGCCCACACGGACGCATGGTACTCATTCAGCCATGCTAGGTCAGATTTGGAGAGAAGCGACACATCCACAAGTTCCCGACACATCGGTACCAGAGTGAGATAGTCAAACTTCAGAAATGCGCTTGCCATCTTGTAAGGTGTTTGTGCTGGCACCGCCAGGATGTCCGACTCTATACGCACCCCGAATTCCCCTTCTTTGTAGCAACCCGGTTCGTCTGACAGAAACCATCCAGCAGAGATTGGCTGTAAAAACAATCGCTGTCGGCGTTGGCTGGCAAGAATCCGATCTCCAGTTAGACTGCCACCACCAATCTGGGCAGGTCCTTCGTGGACATTGAGGTATGCGCCAATCCCATGTCCTGTGCCGTGACCGTACTGCAACCCATCCTGCCACAGAGGTCCTCGTGTGTATGCATCCAGAAGGAGGCCCGGAGTACCCTCCGGAAAAACTGCTTTGGCCAAAGCCAGGTGTCCTTGTAGCACCCTTGTGTAGATATGCTTCTGCTCAGGAGTCGGTGTTCCGAAATGCACGGTGCGGGTCACATCCGTCGTGCCATCCTTGTATTGTGCACCGGTGTCAATCAAATAAATGTCCGACCGTTGGAGAATCTTGCACTTGTCGCGTTGGGGCTGATAGTGAACGACCGCTGAGTTTGCACCAGCTGATGAGATGGTATGAAAGCTGTCACACACGTACAGCGGCTGCTTGCGCCGCAGCTCCTGCATCATTTGGCACACATCGAACTCACTTGGAGGAGTCTCGTCCGAGTTTGGGTTGCGCAGGACTCGACTAAGTTTTGCGAGTAGCTCGCAAAGAACAATGGAATCCCGCTTGCAAGCCTTTTTAAGTCCGGATATCTCGACGGCATTCTTGCTAGCCTTGAGCCGCTCGATAGGTGAGAGACTAGGCACTCGCAATGCGGGTTTGACCATGCTCAAAATCGCCAAAGAACAGGAAGCAGAGTCGAGTAGAACCTTATCTTGTGGGCCTAGCTGGCCTAGCTCTGTAGGCAGCTCATCAAAGAAGCTCACATATGGTCTGAAAGTAACGCCAGCTTCAACCAGGCTCGAACGAACTTCTGCAGAAAGACCTTCTGCTCTTCCTTCCCTTCCTTCCTCAACTCCGCGTAGGAAGAGCATGACTCGATCCTTGAAAATAGCGGCATAGGCAAAGAATAGTGGGTTGTACTCGATGTCGGAGCCCCTGAGATTGAACAGCCAAGCAATCTCGTCCAAGGCGCTCACCAAACAAACTGTGGCCCCCTTCAATGCAACGGCTTCCCGAACTCTGCGGATTTTCTGGTCCACTGATTCACCAGCAAGCTCGAGCGGATGTACCTCCACTAACTTGCAAGGATCTTCCGGGCGTGTTGTCCAAATGGCATCAATGAGATTCGCCTTTATCTCTTTGAGGGAAACACTGGTTCCCCATTTTGCAGTCCATTCCTGGGCCACTTCTGCAGGTACAAAGCGTGGATCGACCCCAACGCACTGGCCAGTAAGATTTGTGTGGACCCAGTCTACAAGTTCCGGCACCGAAGGTTCAAACTGACGCATCAGCACCCACTCTGTACCTCAAGCAATGCACTGCACTCGAGACTCGAAGAGTTAGAGTATTGAGGATTGAGGAGGCTGATTCAGGGGCAGGCATGACAAGCTGCCTGCCAGTTGTTGCTCCGCCTGGATGAAGTAACGGCTATCCGTCCACAGCAACGCCTGCTTTGCCGTCACAACAGCTGTTCCTGGCAGCTGTCAACATGTAAAACATGTAAACACACATGTAACCACATATCACATGTACACACAGCCGTCCGCGAACTGATCTACCTGCCTGCACTGCCCGAGAAGCCCGTCAGGAAGCTTCGACGCTCGTCCGCGGATGCGACGTACTCAGAGCCATGTGCGTCCTGCGTAAACTCTGGTGGGCAGATCCGTGAAACAACGCCGAAGGTACTGCCAACATGCACTTCTTGCCAGTCAAACTTAAGCAGGGCACAAGAGACAGGTGCTTCTGTAGCATGCCAAGTAGTCTGGAGAAACTGCTGGAAGCAGCGGATTCTGTGCACGAGCAGTCAGTGTGTGTGGACATGGCCTCATGTCCCCAACCGTGCCAAGTGCTAAGACGAAAGGGGTCACGGCCCTGCACTCCGCAGATACCCCCTCCCCAGCAACCTGCTGATGCAGAGATTTGTTTAGGATTTAGTTTAGGGTTCAGGTTGTGGTCACCTTTTGAGCTGAGCTGAAAACAGTGACTGCAGGGAAGGGTCTTCTGAGGTCGACGCTCGGACCCTGTCGGGAGAGCGGGAGAGAGAGAGAGAGAGAGGAGAGAGAAGATAGAGACGAGAGAGAAGAGAGAAGAGAGAGAGGAGAGAGAAGAGAGAAGGAGAGAGAAGAGAGAGCGAGAGAGAGAGAGAGAGCGCGTTGTTTCAACAGAGTTGCTCGAGAGATGTGGGTTAGTATAAAAGTGTAGGAAGATTTGGTTTGCAAGGATCGGATCCTTGAATTCACGGAGAATCAGGGAGAGGGAGATCCTTCCCAGGGACAACAGTACTGGGTCAGTTCCACATGCTGCGGACGTTTACGGATGGTGCTGGGTGTTCGTTTGGCACAAGCAGACGAAAGAACACTTAGCTGTCGCCAGCTTCCGTAACCCTACCGCCGCAAGTGTGCGTTTCAAGTTGGCTGATCCGCAGATCTGAAATCCCGTTCCTCTAAGCACGCCTCACATCATCTTACTAGGTTGCTCTTTTGGTCCCAGGCCTCGCTTGTGACAATGTATGCATCCAGGCCGTGAGCCTTCAGCAAAGCACGCAGGCCCTGCAAGCGGTCGGCGCTCCCTTTGGGATCGCAGTCGTCGCAGAAAGGCGCACCAGGCCGGTAACAACACGGGCACTGCCTGGGCACACATTCGGACCCTGACAACTGGTTGATGTGAGAACTGCTCAGCAACTGATACGGCTTTGCTCCCTCTTCCTGAACTACCCTGCTTCTCACCCCTTGCTGAAATTTCGCGAAAGGCGCAGCTGAAAATGAGCTGACAAGTCCAGCAGACCACGGCGCCGTTTTCTAGCAGTCTCTGCCATTGGGCAAGAATCAGCACATTGATTGAACAACTCTATGCTACTTTTGCCGTGGTCAAAGTGCTTGCCCGCTACTGTCCTGCTATGCTGCTGGAAATCTGCTCTTCGTAGTTCTTGTAGAAGGATGCAGTATGCTGCCTCATGAATGGATCCGCGTATGTGTTCGGTGTTTTGCCTTTTCGTTGGTTCAAGCTGCCGAAGCTTGAGCGCACGTGTAGCAAACACCACATCGTCATGCAAGCCAAGACGAAGCCGAGGCCAAAATCGCCAAAATCGCAAGATGGATCTTGAAAGGCTCCAGCCAACGGCTTCAGCTGTGGGAAGGGAGCCAGCAGCCATGCGGAAGTGCAGAAGTCGCGTTCTTGGCATGGCCAGCAACATGGCTTTGACTGACGGTGTGCATGACAATTGGTTGCAGCCATCTGTATGCTACAAGTTCCTTCTGTGATGGAATCTGACTACGAACATGTAGCCGCAGGAGAGCACTGAAGCGCGCGCTCTTGATGAAGCCAGAGGCTGTCTCCATCACATACTCCAAACCTCAGTCCAACTTATCCAGCAAAGTGCTTGGAGGGGTTGGTTACAGGCACCTTCAGGTATTGTGCGCAACATACTCAGACAGCAGACAGTGGGTGCCAGCCACCCTCGTGAACTCGAAGTACGCATCCCAAAACGTGATGGGTGGTTCCTGCAAGCAGACGGTATCTCGCCTGATTCCGTCGGCCAAAACGCACACAAAGGATTCCCAATAAGCCTTCAACAAACAGATTCAAGGCGGCCCATAGTGTTCGTACTCCAAGGCTAGTTTGCTCTTGTGAACTCGGGTCGAACTCATGCCCGTCATGCCCTGCCCTGAGGAGTTTCACAAGCTCCTTGAAGCTGTAAGTGGCGGGATCCATCAGCTGAAGCAGCTCAAACGCCTGGGCATCATCCAGGCAGCACTCTTGCACTGGGAGCGGCTGAAGGCTTGGGTTTCTGCAGGTGGCAGGGATGTTTGAGAGGACTTCAGTCTCAGCAGTTTGTCCTGCCAGGTGCACAGTATTTTATGCCTAGCGGCTTCGTAGTCTCTTTAGATAGATGGCCCACCGAGCCTCCAAAGTGCTAAACAGGCGCAGTGCCGAGTGCGAAGTGCCAGGAGTGTGGGCAAGGAAGGCCTGCAGGAAGCTGAAAGCCGAAGACTGCGACATCCAGAGAGGCAACGAAAACGCCACCAGAGAATCACCTCGTAGATCTTCGTCCGGTGCTGAAATGCCTGCATCGGGTTTTTGTTCGTCCTGATTGGTCTGAACTTCCCAACGCTTGAAAGGCACATTCCGCGCGAAGTCCAGTGGAACTCGGCCATGCTCCTGCCAACAGAAACGAGATGGTGCCCCAAATGACGACCAAAAGCGACTCATAAGAATGAAAGGTGCACACACCAAAAGACAGCATCCCTGCCTCCCACGCTTCGGCCAAGCTCCTGAGGCTTGGAACTTCTCGACGCCGTTACTGTACCATGTAGCCGAATGCAGTCTGATGCAACTTGTGCTGTACCAAGTCCTGTCGAGGCGAGTGTGTGCAACTCCGGCATCCTCATTGAGCCCCTCCTCAGCCAAGGCTCTCTCAAGCCACCCAAAGCCAGATCTGCTCGGCATTGGCTCGGTGCACTCAGGATCCGACGATTTTGCCATCGGCCCCAGGTGGCGCATCACCCCTGCATTCGAGGGCTGTTGTAAGGGGCAGAAACGCAGAAAAGCTTGGCAGCGAGCACTTGCCTGATTTGCTTGAGGAGGGAGGAGTAGTGCAACGCTGAGGACCTGGACGAACCTCAAACTGACCATGAGCCAGCCATGAGCTGGCATCATTTAAGCGAAAGTGTCAATGTGTCATGCGCATCTCATCGCTGAATCGCTTAGGCATCAGCTGCCTGCAATCGAGTGTCCGGGCCTGGGATTGTAACATGTCACTATAGTTTAAGAAGGGCATGTGCATTTTCGGTAATGAAATCATCGCTTCCTGTAAACGAGGAGATGGAGTATTAGCGAGCGAAGGCCAGCTACTAAGCGCCAATTTAGCTGACCGCAGAACCGTCGAATCCGCAGGACACGCAGACACGGCTGACTTGCTCAGAGCCTATAAATCCCCATTAACCCTATGAACAACTTTGGAGAGGACCTTGGACAAGTTTTGCTTGGCGCGCATGTTACGCAGACGGGCAAAGCAACTGCACCAGGGAACGTAGAAGCTACCAACTACCCTGGAGGCAAGTGCGCCGCGCAAGCCTCACGCGTCTCTGCAGCAAGCAATGAACCTTTTGTCTTGTCCTGGCTTGTGGCACAGCGATGCACAGCGTGTACTGCTGAGCAATTAGCCTCTCCAGTCAGCAAATTGAAGGCGTTTCCAGTCTGCGCATACATGGCAATAAGAACATCGCATGCGCAAGCATCTGACGGATGCCAGAAACCTGCGTAGACATTCACAGACCACGACAAACAAAGCAACCGCTTCACCCACGGATAAAGATGGATATTGTGTAAAGATGTGTAATATGTACCCCATAAAGCTGGCCCTCAGCACTCTGGGGTAATCTGGGCCGACTTTCAGGTAGGACAACTACCGAGAAAGGGCCCCTTCTGAGATCAAAAGCTATGCTTCCTTTTGCTACTGGGCTTGCTTCTGTGTTTCTCTCAACAAGCTTCACACTTCAGACCGTCAGCTCAGGTCACCGGTCGTGAGAGCCTAAGGCTTGTGCCCCGTCGACGCTGAGCCAAAGTGAGAAGAATGACGCCTGAAATGAGAGCATCCCACGATATTCCGCGCCATATATACATGCCGTGTCCATGACCTGCCTGGCTTCAACCAAACGACGCAAATGATCCCAAGGCTTTAGGGCCGCGTTGCCTGCGAAGCTTTGCCAGCTTTGCCACATCAATGCCCATCCGCATTTCTCTCATTTTCTCCCAGGCCTTCGGCTGGCAGTGCCTGGGCAAAGCTTGCGGCGAGAGTGCGCGAGGCTGCCTTAGCACACAACCGCTCTCACTCTTGCAGTCAACGTTGCGGTTTCATATGCTATGCCTAGATCACTCTCTGAAATTTCCGGATCAGCAATCTCAAACACATTGAGAACCAATTGGGAGCTTCGTTAAGACGTTTCGTCCGATGTTGAGGCTTGAGGGTCCACGGACCTGCATTTCTGAGGTTCAAGGAATAGCTGCCCACAGGCCCACAGGCCTTGACTTCGGGAACTTCCTGTCTGCCAAGAGACTGGACATGGACTCTAAGGGCACGAGAGGCGCGAAAGACAGAGGCGCAGAGAGAGTGAGAGAGAGAGAGAGCGACACACACACAGACAAGAGCCGCTGAAGCGACACAAGACACAGAGAGACATAGAAAAGACAGAAGGGAGAGAGGGAGACTGATGAGAATTAGAAACAGAAGGAGGTGGGCAATGGTGGGCATACTGAAGCTACTATCGGTTACTATCGAGTAGCCTGAGCTGGCCAACACAGGCATGGGCTCGTTGAGTAGCGCATTCGCTGACGGCTGTCAGCATGGACAAGGGGGCGCACAGATGATCATGGCTGGGTATACTCAATATCCTCCAAAACCAAGCACTCACGCTGGCATTGACTTCTTCTGACTGACTTCTTCTGACTCCCCCCCCCTCCGTCTTTCCCCGTTCTTCCTCGTCTTTCCTGGTCTTTCCTGGTCTTTCCTCCTTCACTTGTTTGGGAGCGGGGAGGATGCACAAAGCTCTCTCCACCGCTCACGCTCTCAACAGCTCCCGTCTGGAACCAACTCTGAGCGTGAACTCAGAGTCGTGTTATGGGTTATGAGGTTACGTTCCCGCATCCCTGTGGAGAACGTGTCGTAAGCCACGAAGACGGGATTTCTGACAACGCCCAGCACTTAAGGGCTCGAGTTGCTGAGGCTGCCGGCCACAACTTCTCCGATATCGCCCTCACCATCAGTCGAAACCTGTGCATGCAACAACTACACAGCGGAGTAGCGACCTGTCGCTATGGGCCGGACGGCTCCAGCATCCCCAGCCTCACCGAGAAGCATGCACTTGTGGCATATGTTGATGCCCTTTGATAGCACCCGCCTCGATCCCAGGTGCTGCAGAGAGGTTTGCAGTCGATGTAGCCATGGAAACCAGTGCCTGCTGATTGCCGGGCAGTAGTTGCAAGTCCGGGGCATGGATGGTCACAGCTTGCAGATGCTTGCAGTCCACGGCAAATCCGAACGATCGCCATGCTTTCGCCTGCAAGCGGCCATGGAGCGCCGGCGTTGGCCGCACGTCAGAGACGACAACGACCTCGGGCGCAGCCCATGAGCAAGAGATGATGGCACACCGCACGTTTAAAACACGCGGGTTTGCACAATACCGTTTTGGAGAAGTCGAGTAAGAACAGCGCCAAAAGAACGCTCAGCAGCTCAAGCCTCAAACAAAGGATAGCAATGATAGCAACAAAGCCAGTACATACCGCAGGGACAACTGGCACCCAGGGCGGACCCTGGCTTGGGCCCCGACAGAGACTGGGGGCGGCCAACCGTCTCATTGACCTGCCCAGAAGTTGGATCAACACGGATCAGCATGGATCAACTACCTCGAAGGATGGAGATTGATGTTTAGCTTTGCTGGCCGGATAGCATCGACCTTTGAAAGTCAAGCCGTATCCCAAGCGTATAGCGGACTTCTTAGGCTCAAAGAGGAGTGGCAGGCATTGGTAGGTTCTACAGCGCACGCTGTGCAGGTGGCTTGAGAGGGCTTTGGCGAGATTTGGTGGCTTGAGCCTTAGCAAGTTTCAGTCACCTCCCATGTTTGTGCGCAATCTGCAGTTCTACAGTTGAACTGCGGTGTGCTACATCCACAATACTCCACCATGCACATCTTTACGGCTTGCAGTCACGTCAACAAAGTCTCACATCCTCACCAAAATCACAAGCATGCATCTCACAAGAGAAGAGGTGTGTATCGACGAACGATCCAAGGCCCAATCGAAGGCTTGTCTTGGAACAAAGACAGCTCAGTTCAAATGTGAGCGGGCCTCTATGAACTTCAGGTAGCGCCAAGCATCAGACTTCAGCGACTGCAGAAGCCTTGCGCGCGAGAGGATGCTGCCTCATCCTTGTGATTGTGCATGAAGCTGCATAATGTACATTGGGGACGGAACGCATCGGCCGTGAGCCCCAAGTACCTGGAAGAGGCCGAAGGCCCTTTGCAGCCCGAGTGTTTGGAGTCCAGGGATACTTTTCTTGCAGCCAAGACACATCTGTTGAACACGTCTTGCAGTGGGCAGTGCTGCCACGCATCCCTGATGACACATACACAGCTGTGCTGAGATGGCGATGCTTACAAGCCTTGCAGGCAAAGGAAGGTGCAAGCCCAAGCAGAGGCAGAGCTGACTAGTAGTGGGAGCAGAAGCATGACGAGAAATGACGAGAAGCGTATCATAAGTCGATGTGATCAGCTGATCTCGAGGACGCAGCCGGGGGCGACAGTGAGAGGCAGATGCAGCGCCCAAGCAGCGGCTGACTGCGGCAGAGATCGTAAAGTTGCTGCACGGCAGCCTCCCATGCGCAGCGAGCGTGCGAGACCAGAGCTATTTCAGACGAGTTGGCTGCCATAACAGCCTTGCTCAGGCTCTTTGCAGCACTGAAAAGTTCGATCTGCTCCTGTCGTTGAATCGTATGACCTGAAATGTCAGTGCGGCAACAATTCATGCCGTGAAGTCGGGCACCAAGGCAGATTCTGGGACTCCAGCATGGTAAGAAGTTGACAAAAGGAGACACCTGAAGCAAAGCGTGACACCACAACTGGGGACCCTCTTGCACAGCCTAGAAACCCTGCACCCTCACTGCATCCACCTGGTTTGTAACTTGAAGCAGAGACAGCGCAGGCAGCCTTGACACTGTATACGGAGAGAGGCACACAGCTTTGAAGACTTCCGCACGTTTCATTTCCTGAATGTGAATGTGGTGGGGCCCCCGGCTTGAAAGATGTGGGCACTTGTAACTCGGCAGGTATGTCGACCTGCAAGGGGGACGTTGAGGTTCTGATCAGTATAACTTCCAGAAAGACAGACACGCCACGCATGTTCGCATGATTGTGCCACGTCTGTGCGGCAGAAAGCAGGAATCAATGACCATCTGCCTCGTCCACGCTGGTTGCACAAAGAAGTCCGGCATGATACCTAAGAGAAATCTTTGGAAATCTTTGGTGTCGCCTTTCAAGCGCATCTGCTTGGTCGAGGTTGCTTGAAAGGTGGCTTTGGCTCATGCCATCAAGTAGCTCTCTCAACTCGCTGGCAACCTCAGCCGTCAGCACCTCCGAGAACATTCAGATGCGATTCAGTAAACCGAACGGACCGAAGCGTTCGCCTGTGAGTAGATGGCAGCTCCATCCAGAAGTGCATGCGCGATCAGCACGTCGAACTCCAAATGCTTGACCTGAGTCACAGCTGGCTGCTGTGAGTTGTAACATTGCAGCAACAAGCGTTACGAACCAATTTCACGAACAACCTTCAACTCTTGCGAATCAGGCAACTAACCAGCGAGGTAGCTGTGCTGGCTTGTTGAGGTGCTTTTGGATGAGATCCTGGAGTTGATTGGCGCATGACGTCACGGCAGTACACACTGCCTTCATGTCCTGAAAGTCGATGAAGCACATCCATGCCAGATGCGCGGAGGATGGCACCAAGACCTCGAATTGTGCCCAAGCTTCAAATGGGGGAGGCAGTTGGAGGTTTGTTTCGCTGGAAAACTTGACTCTATGTCGGACAATCGGATAAGGAGAAGCACCCTGGCAAGGAACAGAGTTAACAGCGTGTGCTTCTCATCGTACGCTTGGGAAAAAACTGCTTGAAGCATGGGGCAATAGCGAACACTCCGAAATGTCCGACTGGAAGGTCGAGCCATGGGGGAAGTGGCCAACAAGCACTGCATGGAGCACCCACGCCGACCCCAGACTCGAAGCATCGGCGTTCCATATCCTTCGACCACCCTGCCAACCATGGGACAGGACAATGCACTGCCTTCCGTAGAAACGAACGGGATGGCAGGATTTGCCGTTATTCTGAAAGAGAGAGAGAGAGAGAGCGCGAGAGAGAGACAGAAAGACAAAAAAATGGCAGCAGCAAATGTGATGGAATGTGAATACATGCCTCCTCAGGGCCTCACTGAGCAAAGCCAGTGCTTGGGAGGTCCATACCTGTGGTAGCCAACCGCTTTGCAATTATTGTCTAATCTAAGCTTTGGCAAAGCCTCTTCCCGCATTGCGAGCATCCGTTCACGAACGCGTTTGCTGACTGGCGTTATGATAGCTGCAGAATGTTGCATTGGCGTCCGGGGCGGTATGCCAAGCTGCCTGCAGCACCGGCAGCATGCCCATCGGCATGCATGGGGAGGGCTTCAAATAGCTTGGAATCCACTCCAAGAGAAAATTGAGAGAAAAGCCCCAGCTGCTCCTGCAAAGAGCTGCCAGAAGCATCACGAGGACTGCTTTCCTAGTAGCTGACCTCTAGCACGCTGGCTGCATCAAGGCACCATTCCTGCTGCCTCCATGCAGTCGCGTGATATTGTGAAACTTCGATCATCAGACCCAGCGCAGGCTTCCGTTGATGGCCACAGCCACACACCATGTCAACAGGTGGAATGCGGTAGAACGCGATGTAGGTTTTGCAACTGCTGAAGACCCAGCTTGATCCAAATTTTGGTGAAACTTCTGCGTGAAGCGAAAAGTGAGTTGCCCCACGATTCATTCTTCAACATTGCCGGACTTTCGCAAACAGCAGCCAGCATTCTTAGTCTGGGGCAGAAACCTTCGCAAGGTTTTCAGCTCCATATTTTCCGAACGAGACATTTCTCGATGCGAGTAGCGGGGTCATCGCCGTCCCAGTATTGGATGAGAACCTTTGGGCTTCCAAACATGCATAGAAGACCACCAAGATCAGCCTTGCGTTCAATAACTTTATGTCCCAGCGGATCAGAGGAATTGGACTGAGGCATCCACATCATCTTGCTCTTCGGGAGTGTCCTTGCAACATGACGCAACATGTCACGAAACTCTGAATGCAATGCTAGGCCCGTGCGCAGCACGTGCGCAGCATTCTGCAGCAAATTGCTATGTCCTCCAAGACGGTGGCTCGGAGAGGCTGGACCTGCAGCACATTGCACTGCACAGGTGGGCTGCGTCACGCACTCCCAAGGATGCACGGCACTGCACCTCACCAGGCAGGAAAACCCAAACATCCTGCACAAGTGCAAGATGTGCGAGGAGCAGGCAACGCGGTCACTACATATGGTAAGTGAGCAGCACCTCCCGTTCCTCGAAGGAATCTTTCTTCAGCTCCTGGTTGGGCAACACTATGGTTCTGACACCGTCTGACACTTGAAACCCGCTTGCGACTGCTCCTTCCATGAGGTTCTATTCATGAATGTTCGTGTTGTTGCTGCTGCTTTCCATGTCCTGTACGATTCCAAGCCTTTTGGCCAGAATGCAGTAAGCTCCGCTGGACCTGCGGTCACAGGGCGCTGGGTGGCTTGTGACTTCCTTGCGCTCATCAGCGAACCATGTCATGTCCATCCCGAACTAGCGCATTGCGCTCTGAGTTCCTTAGGTCCTTGCCCTCGCTCTTGTGACAAGGTTATCAAGTCCTGCATCCATGGCGAGGGTCTCATGATGTCTCGTGATGTCTCCGTGTTCTCTCACGTTGACGTTCAGCAGAGTGACAGCCTTCAAGGTTTCGGTGAGATTCCAGTGCCAAGCCTACGAATGCTGGACAAACTCTTGCATACAAGCTGTCCTTTCCAGCTTTGTTCTCCCAGCACGACCAGATCTGAACGGGCAACCTGACACTCAGATCTGCTACTTTGAAGTAGCCCAAACCCTGCATTGCTAGCACCATTTCGCGCTGGGAACTCGCCGCCCTCTGCAATTCCTTCCGGTGGTGCAGCCGGTTCACTGTGCCAGCACTTCATCAAGCTCTTGCATCTTGTCCTGGACCTTGGTCCAGGTCGTTCTGGGCTTTGCAAGTTTCGAGTTTGTGTCGCTCTCATCTTCCAGCGTCGTTGTCAGTTTCCCCCTTGTAGAAGAAGCACGTATGCAACTGTATGTATACAAGATTATACAAGTGTGTATCGGTGCTCGCCGCCGGTCTTTATCTACAAGTAAGCAGACAAGGCAGTGATGCAACGCCCGCAGGAAGCCAAACAATGCCAATCATTTCACTAGAGAACTAGGGCTAAGTATATATATGAGGGCTAAGTATATATGACAGCAATTCGTCTGAGATCTCCAAACCAATAAGCTGCCGTCTGGGCTGCCAACCACGTTTCGGAAGGCCTTTCGCACATGTCGCAACTCACAAGCTGAATGAGTGCTGCATATGCATCCACTGCGGGGCAGTCCTCTTTCTTCAAGGCATCTTGCTCCTCCTGTGACAGGGAAGTGGAAGGCTCCTCTTCAAGCTCTTCGCCCTCCTGTCAAAAGGCTGTTTCGCCAGCACTGCGCTGGGAGCTGTGGTTCAGGTGGCTACCGAGACATGCGCTGCTCTCCTCGGTTGCTTCTGACACCTGCCGTGTCACTTCTGCCAACCTGGTCGAAAGGAGTGCACGGCAGATGCCAAAAACCGAAGCCAAGTTGTCTGAGTTTGCTGTATTAACGGCTTCCCTGGATTCATGGATATCAGATCCCAACTGACTGAGATTTGCAAATAGCATCGCCTGTGGGCATGAGAGTGCTTCGCCGAAACCTGCATGAAGCCGTTCACACAATGGTCGTATGGGCAACTGCGCCAACTTTGCAAGCAAACCTAGACTGACGGGCTTTGGAACACCCACCTTCTCCTCCATCCAGTTGGACGGGAAATAATCCTCTTGGTAGTCTTCCTGGCATCCAGCGCGCAGAAAAGCATCTTGGCACGCATACCATCTCGTTGGTTTGACAGAGACCGCATGCACAAAACAAAAACGCAACCAATGCAGCTTGATACATGGTACATTCTAGTTCCACAATACCACCAATGCAAGGGTCAGAGTGCAATGCTGACATTTGTCGACGAATGGCCTGAGGATCCAAGTTGTTGCTGTTGGTCATCGCCACCAGGTGCGAAGGCTCCTAGCAGCGCTCAGCTGCCAGATTCTGCCATCACCGCCACTTCTGCAGCTGTGCCTCTTCCTCAGCATCTTCAGCATCACCCAATACCTTCAGCTGCTTCATTCCGGAATCACACTCAACGATCACATTAGGCATCCCCTTGAAGCTGCCGGAAGCCACAGGAAGTGAAAGCGCAAGCCCGGCCTCTTCGTCAAGTGCAACCGATGACGGTCGGCTCGACGCGCGGCTCTTCTCAGAGCGAGGGACTGATGGTCTGGGCGAAGCAGTGCCTAAGGTTCCAACGCTGCACTGTGCTCCATTCAGTGCGTTTCAAGTACTGGCAGACATGCAGTGCTCAAAGGGAGCTCACTGGCCAATGACGACAAAAACTCCGCCACCTCACGAATATCGCTACTCTTCGTCCGCATGGGCAAGCAGTATGCAGGCTCCATGCAAACATGTGTGGCCTGATCAGCCTTCATCTCCCTGGCGTAGCTTTGCCTACAGCAATTCATAGAAGTATCAGGAGAAGACAGAAAGGCGGATACACACATCGGGTTTCATTGCAACATATATAACGAGGTGTCGACAGTGTACGCCCACAGTAGTCGCGCCAGTCCTGAAACGTTGTGTCGACGCACTGATTGGAATTGTCGTGAGCAACTTCGAAAGCCTGATGCCTCTTCAGCACATTGAAAGATCCCGTTTGTTTACCAGCTAGAAAGCTAGGTGGTAAACACTGGTAAGCTGGGCAAACCTTCAGAGCAAGATCCGCTGTTTGCCAGAGCAGACCCGTCTCCTGCCAGCGCACGTTGTCATCCAGGTTCTCCAAGATGGTCTTGATGGCATCCACATTGCCCTTCGCATTCTGATTCGCATTCGGTGCGCATTCTGAAATGCAACTTGAACTCTGATCTCCACATCTCTAGGAGTTTTATTCGCAACTTTCATCCCGAAGTCCGAGCATGATGTGTCATGCTGTTGGCTGTAGCCTTCTTCACATAGTGGAAGGCATCCTTTTTCTGCCCAGACAGCAGGATCTGTGCAGCCTGTTAGATCTGTGGCAGGTGAAGAGCTGTGGCTGAAATTGTGGCCGAAGATCCCCTGTGCCTGGGCTTTCCTGTCCTCATCTGTCCGGGATCGTAGCTCGAGAAGCTTTGCCTGACAGGAATCAACCAGCATGCCCCAACAAGGAGTGCTTGGCTCCTGCGATGGCAGGATTGGCGATGCGTCAAAATTGCTGATGCCAAGGCGGGCGTAGCAGAAAAAGCTGAATGCTGCACCGCGCAAGACTTCGTTGAGGCACTGCTTTTGCATGCGTCAGATGTAAATTGATGTGACAGGAGTCTCGGGATTCGAGGTCTCCATCTGTCCGCCCAGAAAAGCCGCCTTCCAGCAGGCGAGAAATGTGCACGAGTTGTTGCAAACCTTGCCGCTTCAGTGTATCGGTAGCGCATGGTGCGTTCGCATGATTACATTACATCGGACATGGTTGCGGCCTGCGGCTCGGGCTCTACATCCATGCTGCTATCGGGGACAGAAGTCTGATTGCAACCTGACCTAGGCTGTCTTCAGACCTCTTTATGCTGAGTGCCACCAGCGCTGTTTGCAGCGATGGAAGCCGACGACATTTGACAGGATGAAAGGCTGAAGCCCTTAAGGCAGTGGCCAGCCATTTCCTGGGCACCTTCCACTGCGTGATTTTGAGTACCATGCGCGCTAGGCAACCAAACGCGACTTTGCTCAAATGCGCGCAGAGAGCCTTGGAAGAAATGGTCCACGCGCTTGGAGCTCCTCTGATAGCACGAGATGCGGTAGCTTTGTCGCCTGCTCCTCAATGGCAGCCCGGTAGTGCCTGACACCACCCGACGCAACGTACTGGCGGGCGGGGTGGGGAGGGTTGGGGGGAGCGCTCAGAACTCGGGATTTGGCATCAGAGCCTCATCTCCAGGTTGCTGGTCGGCATGATGGCATGACGGAGCTTTACCTTTACATTGCCTCAGGAAGAGCCGGCATGCGAGCACAGAGCGACCGGGAATGAAAAGTTGGATCATGTATTGGCAGCTTTTGGGCATGCCTAAAGCCTAGCTCGGGGGGCTTGAACTCCAAACCAGCTTGTATGCGAAGTGTACTGATTCATCATCGTGACAAGACATGACAACCCCATCTCCCCAGCATGATCTCAAATGCATGCAGGTGCTGATGGCTCGCAGCCACAAATTCTTCTCTGCAACACCTTGGCCCAAACCAGCATGCTCCTCGTTCATGAACTGCATGAACTGCATCTAGGATGAGGCCGCAGCCATCACGTTGGTCTCTCCTTGCCCCTTGCCTTCCCTGCTTGTTGCTGTGCCTTCGTTGGCGCCAGGCCCCTGTGTTCTTCTCCATTCCCAATCCGCCAGCCCTCCCTTTGCGGTCATTGTCGAGATTTGTTGGGGAGATCTCTCTCGCAAAACAACCCTAAACTTAAAACCCGAACCCTCAACCTTTATGCTTTACGATCGGGCCCGCATATTTGGCGACCGACTGCCATGTTTTTGGCGACCGACTGCCATGTTTTCTGTTTAATGATCGGGGCCCTAGCGATTTCGTGAACATCCGAGTTAGTCGTTTTGCGATTTCGGCTGCACCTCTCTCCTTTTTGTCTATGGCGCCCCACTTGAGCACTTCCTGGAGGCTGACCACGCCTGTTCGGATGCGGGTGCGACTCCGAGCCGCAGAGCCGATGTCATGATGTACTTCGATGGAAAGCGCTTTGATCTGTGGATCTTGTGGGAGACGATTGAGACTTGGGCTGGGGCAATTCATGCTTGAGAATCGCCTTCCGAAATGGAATGCTTTAGGACATGTCAGCGGCTCCCTGCTGGTCCAAGTTGGTGTTCTTTAAGATGTATGGTGGCCTGCTCATGCTGCTCTGACCTCCTGTGATCACCTGACGACTCACGAACCACGGTCTTGGACCTCTTGGCTGATTGATCCGTTCGTCTGCTGGCTGTTTGGTTTGACTAGTTGACTGACAACTGATGACTGTGAGCATGGCACAACGCCTGCAGAATCACACTTGCCCCATGCCAAGCCACTTCTGGCTGCAAAGTTCTGATCGTTCAAGGTGAAACAGCTGCAATCTACTCCAAGTCTCTCCTTGGAACGAGGCCACTGCGCATTTACTAACATGGGGGATGCAGAAAACTGCAAAGTCTACGGTGGAGAAGGAATATTCTGACCGAGCATCGCTGATGTGACTTATTGAATCAATAGCGACTCGGGCCTCAGAGCAAGAAACGGAAATGAACGAAATAGGACTGACAATGGGGCCAAATGGGGGGGCGAACGTGAAAGAGTGCTGATGAGTGCTGCAGTTGCTCTTAGGAAGGGGGCTTAGCTGCTTAGCTCCGCACTACGAGAGCGGTACAGGAGTGGTCCTCGTAGGCGATGAAGCCTTTCCCGCGACTCTAGCATCATGTAGCATTCAATTGAACTCATAATTATTAGTCCCTCAACAGCGTCTGACAATCTCGCAGCCTGCGGTCTCCTCGACTGGCCTTGGATTCTAGTCTTTCAGCATCTCTCTGCAGGACAATGGAAGATACCCCTACAAGTGCATGCCAAGGGGCGCATGCAGCTCGCAAAACACGGTTGTCAGCCCGGTCCGGTCAAAGAGCAACATGTAGCCGGCGAGCAGACGTGTTTTCTTGCACGGCGCATGCTGCAAGCACACAATCTCAAACTTCGAGCTAAACAATGGTTTCTGAGTATATGGCCTGGCTTCTCCGATAGCACATGCATCGAGGGGGCACAATGTGTTTGTAGGCTTGGACCAGGCTGTTGAGTATCAAATTCAATGAGGGTTTTTGGAGTTTCTGACCGGCCAGGTTTCCGTCCACTCCAGGCCAGGCACCGGCTCCGTGACCAATCTGTAAACTGGAAATAGCGATACGGTCAGCAATCCTCAAAATCGCAAGATACTACAAGAAATACACTTCAAAAGAGTACCGCAAAGAGAGTACTGCAAAGAGGCTCAAGGCCCAATCCCATACATGGCCAGGTACGCAAGGCTCGGGCAGCAGCAGCGACCCATTTCGCTCGCTCCTTAACTCTTTGCCGTTGAACAGCAGTAAACATGACCGAAACATATTACTCTTCTTAAGACGACATGATATGACATGCGCGTAGATCGAACTGCGCGGCTAAGAATGGCTAAGAGAAGCTGAGGATCTTGTTGACAGTCGGGACCCGAAACTGCAAACATCAGAGTCTTGCAGCTGTGGAAGTCCACAATCTCAGATGCAGTCAGTCTTAACTTCGGGACTGCCCACCGGCCTCAAATCTGGGATTTCAAGGGATTCAACTCTCGCTCCGGGATTCCCGCAATTCTTTTTCACTCGGAGATTGTTCTTTGGGGCTGGGATGGTGCGGGGCTTAGAAAGAAGCGGGATTGTCGACTGCAGATGGCAAGGACACCGTGGCCCGAATGTTTTGTGCATTTCTGCGCAGGCCCATCTCCCCATCTCTCCAGCCTTGAAAAGACGTGACCCAGGAAGGGACTCATCAGCCTGCCGGGCTGCGATGGACACACCCTGCACTCGAACGCACGGCATACAAATACACGGAGTGCACGAATACACGGAGCTCTTGAGCCCCACTCCCCCTGCCTCGGCACTGTGAAGCCGGCAGGCTTGGACAAGGCTGAAAGGCGACCATGCCAACGAGGTCGTGGTGCACTCGTTCACATGCCCTTAAGGTGCGCGCTGCATTGCTGCATTGGTGTGCACTGCAATGGCGAACACGTGCTCCTCTCATGACTGCCCTTCTCACTGCCCATTCTCTCCCAGGGTCTGATGCCAATGCCGTTGATGTGGATGGACAAATGCACCTTAGACCAGGTGCATTTGGTGATTCTTCTGGAGGAAATGTGGTCCTGTCTTCTACTTGTCTTCCCCTGCCTACTTGAACCAATTTCGGCAAGTTGCCCGTGCAACGCTCTGCAAGTTGGACTCGTCGCCCGGCTGAGCTTGAAGATACCAAACACTTCCAGTCCTGAACTGCGAGATCGAAGCTAGGGGTACTGTGGTGTGCTGGGAGGCTGCGAGATAACCCGGCCACAATGGCCACACTCAAAAGTCTTTTCCGTCGTGTCTTGACTGTGGCCTTGCGTTGCTGAAGCATCTAGCCGTAGCCGCCTGAACCTTAGCCTCTTCATAAGGCCCTTATTTTACGTTTTTTGATGCAATGAGCTACTGTTTGTCAAATTAACGAGTCCTGGCTACCTCCTCCCTTCGAAGCATATCACAACCCCCTTGCCTCAGCGCCGGCTCATGGAGGGCTGCTGCGGAGACGACTTTGTACGAGCCCTGAGCTTGCATTCACGCGTTTACAGCCGCTTGTCCGGCACACAAGAAGTTTGAGCATGCTTGACACGAACTCTGGTTAAGCTAACTGAGTTAGCCATGCATCTGGTGCCACCACCAGCTCGTTCAAGTCAAGCTTGCTACCTTCGCCTTCGGAATCTGAATCGGCATCCTTCGACTTGATTTGCACCTCCTGCACTCATTCTCACTCCAATTCTGCCTGTGTACTTTCCACACAGTCCACTACCAAGGCGCACGAAAGCTAGTACTTTAGAATTTCCGAAGACAAGGAAGGCTTGTCGGAAAGAACTTCCTCCAAAACCTGCGGGAACTGTATAGGAACGGTGCTGTTTGTTGAAAGCGCTGTTCAACAACCTTGGAGGCACACTGCTTGCCATTCGTGTGGCGTGGGGGAACGATGCTCCCAATTCGATGTTTTAGGGGGCGATGTGCTTGCCATTTGCTCTGCAGGAAGAGAATGAAGAGATCCCTGGTCACAAATCTTACAGGCTGGTGCTTGCGATGTGCTGTTTTGATTTGCAAGAGATTTGTTCCAACAATCTTGGGGAAAAGGAGCTTGCCGAATAATGCTCAAACTTCTGAGGGACGCGCCGCTTGTGATCTGTTCTTGGAAGAGACTTGCTTCAAAAGTCACGGAGCCCCGCCCAAGGTAAGCAGGTTCCACCATGTTGCTTTCGTTGGGCTAATTCGGTTGACATCTTTAAGTGTTTGCGGCCTTGGGTGATTTAGTAAACATGGGTGTGCAAAATCTGTCTGGACCAGGCCTCACGATGCTTTGAAGAAAAGGCAACTGGTAGTTCTTTATGTAGTGTTGGCTTTTTTGTGACTTTCCGGATTTTCGGTGTCTTCTGGGTTTAGGATGTCTGAGACCACAAAGGAATTCAACATCAAACTGGTGAAATCGATGAAGCTTCCCGTCCGGTCCTGGACGTTTCTAGTTCAAACTGCAGACTCGAATGCTGAAGTCCCGGGTTGCCGCGCCGGCCAAAGGCAGAAAGGACGTAAATATTGACGAGCTAAAGTCGCTAGTGTGAAAGCACGGTCCTGGACTTACATGTTGACATCTGCAGGCTGGGCTTTAACATGCAAGTCCCACGCTGTAGAATCAAGAATTAAAGTTCCCGGGTTGCCGCCCCGGCACAAATAAGACCTCAGTAAAAGGTTCAAGCTTTTTTGGCTGTCAAGTCTTGTTCCGGACTGTGCAGCGCTGGTGCAGGGCAGAAAGGAGTTTTATGTTCAGGCATTGTTACAGGACGGAAACTCGGAAGAATGGTATATAAATGCATTCACATCATAAAATCGGTCCTGGAACTTGACACTTTCATGTTTTAAATATTTCAGAAAATTCCCCCTGCCGAAACATTAAAGTCTGCAAGCCTGGGTCTGGCCGGAAGCCCCAAGAGATGCATATTGGCAATATGTTGTAAACGTACATGAAACTACGAAAATGCAGGCCCGCATCGAATATGCTAATGTGAAAGTCCAGCCGGTGGCCTTTTCGAGCTTGCGGCCAGCCAGACTTTAATATCAACATGTTGCAGCTTAAACGTATCAAAGTCCAGGCCGGTACTTCTAAATTTAACCTTGCAGGTTCAGACTTTATAACATTCAAGCCCCAGGCTGCAGAATAAATGTAAACGTCCTGGTGGTGGCCTCTCAGGCTTGGGCCCAAAAACGAGCGCAACATTGAAGCACTAAAGGCTTTAAACAATTGAAGTCCGGACCGGGACTTGAAATATCCAATCTGCCCCGGCCTGCTATTTCTAGTTCGGCAGCTGTGGATATCCGCCGAGGCCTCGGGCCGAGGCACCCCCCCCTCCAAAGCCAGACATCGGCCTTTTTTTTGCCTGGAAAGGGTACCCCCCCCGTGGGCGACCACAATCTGAAAGCGGACGGTTCGCCAGGACCAGGGGCAGTTGAAGCCCCGCCTAGCAGGCCCACCCCTCATTTCTGCCCCCCCGCCCACCCCCTCCCACCCCCCCACCCGCCCCGACCCGCCCCCCCAAAAAACCCTAAACCCAAACCGTGAACCTTGAGCCCTACGCCCTCAACCCTAAACCCCAAACCATAAACCATAAACCCGGAACCGGTCCGGGCTGCCGCCCTGGCCCAGATCAGAAGACACTTGAATATGAAGCTGCTACAATGAATGTCTAAACATGAAAGTACGGCGCCTGGAACTTCAACGTTCTTTTACATCTGCAGGGCTGGACTTTCTTTTTCATGGCCACAGCTGCAGAATCATTGAACAGGGACTCTGCAGTGCTGGACTAAAGTCCAGTCCAGCAGACATGTTCCAAGGGCCAGAGCACATTATACAGATTTGACCTTCTTACAAAAGCCCTGCCCCCCAAATCAGGAGACCGCGTAAGATAACGCCTCCTGGTGATTCAGGAAACAAACCCCCTCCCCCTCCGTGTGACCTCAAATCCTGAGATTCCAGGAAGAAGGTCACGTCAAGCCGCTTTTGCCCCGCATAGCTGCAAGGAGGCTGGCTGCAAGGAGCTAGCAGATAGCTTTCCCAGACTTACAACCCATACTGCAATACCCACATCACACCCCCAAGACAATGACAGGCACAGCCAGTTTCTGAGGCGACCTCCACATGCTATCTGCCCCATATGTTGCCTGTGCAATTTGCAATCGGTCCAGAGAATCTTGCAGAGTCGGCTGGACCACGACAACCTCCACCGGAGACAAATCTTGGCCGCCTCCAGGGATACAGGAAGCGTTTATCCATAGCACAGCACCGCACCGTCGGAACTGAACTCTCACCATTGCACGGCCTTCTTCGCATTTGCAGAGGGCAAACATGACGAATCAGCCATGGACCCTGTCGATCTGCCAGAGGCTCCCCCAAGAAGGAGCTTCCCATGTCTGGGCCATGCGCAAGGGCATGCGCCCCTACTCGCACTTTGCTCAGTAATCTGCGAAGGCCTAGTGATTACCTAGTGGGTACTGGGCTAGGTCGGCTAGGTGTTTGCATCTTGTTCAGGTCAAGCCGGCCAAGGGCTGAGTACGTGAGATGTCTTGAGAAGTTGGAATCTTCGGAATCAGTTTGTCCACGTCTCATGTCGAGTCTAGTTACTAGTTACTAGTTTGTGTGTGTTGCTCAAGTCAAGCGGCTGCACCCAGACAGGGAAGAACGTTTCAGCCATGGACGATTCGAAAAACACGAAAAACATGGTTTTTGGGATGTGGGAAGACTGATCAGGTCAATTTCTCATGCTCATCCCTCTCAATACCGTAGCATGGCATGCTGGTCTATACTGGTCTGCATGAACAGCACCAGAACGTTGCAGAGGACCCACATGGCCTCAGCCTTTCCAACATCCTCGGCATCGACTTCTGCCATCCTCGCTGATTCGATGGCCTGGGAGACTTCGGTGACTTCAAAGGTCTGATGCTGGCAACCCATGTGCCCGGAAACAGCTGCCGCCTGGGCCAAGTCCTCCTCGTCATTGGCCTTTCACAAACCGGCGAACTGCAGAAAATTGTGGAACATTTGTCTGTTGCGGAGAGCTTTGCGTTGCTTCTTGCGTTGCTTCTTGCGTCGCTTTGCGAGTGGGGGCACCTCCAAGGCCGCATGGAGCTGCTCGAAGGCCGCGCGCCGCTCGCGCCTTCGACCGCATCTGTGGCACAGGTGCCCGTACCCGTTTGCAGCGCTAGCGCTGCGCTTTCACATACCTTCACATACCTCCACCATCCTTCACCGTAAGGCAGCTGCAGCTGCTTGTTCTTCAGCTCGCGACGCGCCTGAAGATTCAAAGCAAATAACGATCCAGCGTTGTGATGCTGCATCGCCGCCAGTCCAGCGTCTACCGCACATACTAGTACGGATTGCTTCCTGCGTAATGATTTGTAATCATGCCGGCAGGCCTCTCCCAACAAAGACTCCACGGCGGAAATGGCATCTTTGAGGTGAGTTGAACTAGACGAGGAGTCGATCATAGCAATCCTGGCCAGTGAGAACTACAAACACGTCACACGATGTCACACGGCACAATGACAACGAAGATGATGGAAGAAATGTGTTGGTTTCTCAGCAGCTGCGGGGCAGCCATCTACAAATACCAACATACGCCGCATTTCAAAGACACTCCATTGCCTCAGGCGGTTCTCCGAAGATGTCACAGCCCCTTCCGGAGAGGCGGCGGGAGACTGCGCGGCCTCCTGGCAGCAACAAACATGATGATCCCTGGAAATGGAAATGGAGACACACTACACTGCTGCACGCAGTAGAGTTCATTGAGCCCAGCAATCCCAAGCCGCAGCCCAAGAGCAAACCACATAGGTTGTGTAAGCAGTTTCGTCAAAGCCGAAGCTCTTTCACCAGCAAGTCGGGGACTTTCGCCGATGCACATTCAGGTTTGCAACAAGGACCTTTATGTTCTTAGATCAGCACCCCAAATCACCCGCCCATGGTCTTTGTTCTGAGAGTGATGCACTCGAGCGAAAAGAAAGCAGATTCGAGTCGCTTTTGTGCTAATACCTTCGTTTGGCAAGTAGGAGATGTTCCAGGATGGTGGCAGGTTTCCCACGTGTGATGACGACGGGCCTTGTTCTTGGCTTCCGAACTTATGGACAGGACATCGCATCAAGCAATACCTCTAGAACAGTCAACCGGAGCCTCAACCAGTTCAAAGACTCGGAGAGATCGAAACCATCTTTTGAGTCTTTTGGCTAAGGGCGTCGTCACATCCAATCTGCCGGTGAAAGCAAGGACCCACGGACCACTGCAATATCCACAAACATCCACAAACGTCTCTGTTCCGCAATAGAACAAGGCAAAGGGGCAAAGGGGGCAATGGGGGGGGAAAATGCGGGTCAAAGGGGGCAAAGGCCCCACACCTCGCCGGTTCCGGCTCCGACGCCGCTGCATTCTCGGGCCCATCGGCGGTTCTTCTCCTGTGCAAAAATTATGCTTAAAGAGAAACTGCAGTGCGACTAAGATCCTCCTAGAGCGGAAGAGACACGAGAGACATCGAGAGACCTAGTTTGCGGAGCCGAATATCTGAGCACCTCCGAGAGCCTCTGCTCATCCTCGCGGAGCTTGCGCTGAACCTCCACCTGCCACAATCCAACAGCTCCAATCGTATGCGATGATGGAAAAAGGCTGACAAGATAACGAAAGACATTGGGTTTGCAACTAGCATTGCGAGTGAGGCTGCAACAGCAGGTCGTCTGCATCACAAGGCAAAGCTGTTGCTTTGGCACCTGTTTCTGCAGAGAGGCATTCTGCTTCTGCAGCTCGGCCACCTGTCCGAAGAATTCACACCACGACCCTCAAAGTGTGGATGCTTGATGATGGTAAAGAGACGTACCACGTGTCAAAGCCACAGTCACAGCAACGTCAAAGCTACCTCGTGCTGCGCGGTCGAAAGTTCATCTTAGTGCAGTGCCAGCTGTAGCTCCGCATTCTGGACTGGAAACAGTGCGCAAGAGCAAGAAGCATTCACTTTTTGCAACGAAGCTACCTGACATCTGAGCCACCTGGCCAGCAAAACGACCAGAAAGTTTCTATTCAAATGTGGACATTCACACAAATCTTGCAGCGTAGGGCATGGAATCGCACGAGATTGAGTGCCTTAGACTTCGCATTTACGAGCTCACCTCAGCTGTGGCGTTCAATAGAGCAGTCCCGAACTCTGCAACACCTCGTCTATAGGAGGCAGGATCTGAGATTGCTTGGCAAGCAGCCATCCGCAAACTGTTCGAAGCTATTGAGCTCCTCAAGTCTTTGCTGGAGCTTCGCCAGTGCCTCAAACATGGCCAAAGAAACTTGGCTGGCAGAGAAACAGATCCTGCGGCCTCCTTCAGGTCATTGTTCTCCCCCTTCCAGCAGCCGACTCATGTCATTGATCTGTACTACTCGTCATGCTGAGAAAAGATAGAAAAGCTGTAATCGGAACTTGGTGCCACCTCGAGCTGCCTGTTCTTACTTCGCAGCTCCTCAACAGTGCACTACACAAGCCACGCGAGGCTCTGGCTTGGCTCTTGGCTTGGCTCTGGCTTGGCCGTGCCTTTCGCAACTCCTCGTTTTCGCCCTTAGCCGAGCAGCGAGCCAGTGGCATCGATCCGAAATCAAGGAGCTTCAGATCTGGGAAGCCAGCCACCAGCTCTTGCCACTGGGCAATCACGCCTTTTCGCTCAGCTTCAAGGCCCTGTCACTTCACCGCTCGGGTGCTTGTACTTAACCTTGTAGTTGCAGATGCCAACAGCGAAAAAACAGCAAAGCGAACCAAAAGTCGCTGCCTCCAGCTTGTCTTGCATCCTCATGTGACGAGTATTGACGAGTGCAAGTGCTTTGCTGCTGAAGTACAGGGCATGCAGTGCTGACTGAAGGTGCCGAGGTTCCGATCTTTCTCTTGATGCAGATACTTGATGAAGTCCTCAAGGAATGCTCTCGGACACTTGAGAAGGGCACTACAGAAGCGTGGGGCGGAGGGGGGGCATTCACAAGCAATTGTTGTGCAGTCCAATCTTGCTGGTCAAGCATGCGTTGTACTGTCACTGCCCCATTCGCCCTGTTGTGCTCATGCATCTGCCGTCGAAGTCTGGTGATGACATGCTGGCTTCAAGGGCAGTCCTCGTTGGCTCGAAGGTCGCAGGACCATTTGTTATGGAGCTTGTTGAATGCCTTGTAGATGCAAACGCACCAAACAAGCATCCCCAAAAAAAAACATCGGAGAATACGATCAAGACAGGCCGCATCGTTGGCTTGCCGGCGCTCCTCTCTGCTGAATGCAAGAATGACGACTTCAGCAGCTACTTCAGCACAACATCTTGATGCCCGGTACGCCCCGCGCATCAAATGACACCCCCCACTCTTTAGCTCCTTCAAGATCTATGGCAGTTGCTACTGAGCTCTGGTTCAGGAAAGATTGCTGTCGTGGCAAACCAAACCTGTGGCTCCCAGGCGCAAAGCTCCCAGGTCCTGCTGAAGGAGGTTTGTAAGCACGGCAAGTTCCTTCCGCAAATCCTGCCCAGGTGTGGAAGTGAACTGCAAGGCAAGAACAAGATCGACCAACGAATCACACACGATTTGGCTCTTGGATGAATCGTGATTGGAGATGCGAAAAATGACCACGGCCAGTGAGCTTGCCTCCACGCTCCTCTCATCTTTTCTTTTCCTGGAGATTCTGATCATGGGCATCAAAACCTCATACCCAAGCTTTGAGATTGAGCTTCTGGCGACAGCGTGACACTCTGCACCTGCAAAGTCTTCAAGTCATGTCGGTCTGTGTTCTTACCAGACAACACATAAGTCACGAAATTTTCTTGAAGATGTCCAAGCCTGAAACCCTTGATTTGGGTCCTGCCAATCAGTCTGGACTGTACCCAGCTCCTTGCTCATAGGATTCCCGTGGCCCTGTCCTCACGAGTGTTCACCTGGCAAACAGCATTAACCCCACCTGCACCTCACTGCTCAGCACATGTACCCGTTGACTTCAGAAACAAGCTCAAACATCAGCACCCCATGTTCGGCAGCCTGGATTCGCACACCAGAAGGCAAAGTCTTGCGACTGGGCACCTGCAGATTTGCATCAACAATCGTTTGATTATGCCGTAGCTCTGGCTGCGGCTTCGTACTGTAGCTAGAAACTGCGCTGCGAATCACGAGTTCACTCACCCAGCAAAGTTGAAACAGGCGTCAACGCCTCACTGCCATCGCTGTGGATGTCCGTCTTGGTCATCAAAGCTTGAAGAACATATAACAAGTGCTGAGCAAGGGGTGGAGTTTGTTTGGGTACTTTTTTGCAGGGAAGGGCTATAGTGCCTTGAATGTCCTCCAATATGTGTGTGTGTGTGTTTGTATCGGAAAACCTATAGCGTCTCAATCTGTTCATCTGTTCCCTAAATTTCATTCTATTTCCCAACCCTTCAATCGGAAAATGTCTGTTTTCTCTGCGTTTAATGGAAGTGCAATTTCCTCTATGTGTCAATCAATCAACCCCCGTGTCTTTTTACACTTTCATAGAAAACAAAGTCCAGGGCTACATCTCCCTCCATGTATCATACAAAACGAAGTATCTCCCTCTATGTATCATACAAAACGAAGTATCTTTGGTTCACTTCTCACACAGACACACACACACACAAGGGGTTCGGCGGGCGCAGCCCCCGCCCCCACTTGCAAACAGAATGATCATCCTTTCGTTTTCGCCTTGTGAGTTGGCCACATCTCCTTTCGATGTCGCATCTTTGGGTTGCAGCGCTGGCAGAAGAATGCAGGTCAGAGGACCGGCAGACCACGGGAAAAGAGAACCAGCAGACCACGGGACCGGAGGACCAGCAGACCATGGGACCAGCGGACCAGAGGAGAAGCAGACCAGGGGACCACCAGACCAAAAGAAGTACCACCAACTATAACAACTGTGCATTGGTGCGAGTGCGGCTGAAAAGGCATGCAGCACGTCGCCAACTCTCGAGGCCAAGGTGTCCACGCGGCTGGGTGGGCTCGAGAGAAGACCGTGATGGATTGCTGGGCTCATAGCACCTGCAAACTGCAAGCCCAGTATGCCCATGGACTATGCGGTCAGCACCGGGCCAGCATAGCAACTGAGACAGATCACATGTGGTCTTGAGCTTTGTAAGTGCCAGGCAGGAGGCAAGCCTCGTGGGTGCACCTTCCCGCCTTCGAAGAACTGGGATGAACTGGCTTATGAGGGTGCTGCCAATGCCAAGCCGCTCTAAGACGACTCTGAGACTCACACGAAGTCCTACTGGTCTGAGGGGTGGTGCACCTTGTGGTCAAGATGAGCAAAGCTGCAGTAAGCGGCTGCTTTTGACCATGTCAGAACGAGCTGCTTGGGAGAGCAAGGCGTGCTGGTGACCCCCTGCTACAGCAGTTGATAGGCGACTCCCAAACAACTCATCACCATGCAGCTTGGGCGAGGTCTCAACTCGTCTGAGTCCACCTGCGACGATGCACTCGATGGCCAGCTTGGGCGAGGTGCGCGAACTTGTAAGGAGCCCTGCAGGCGCCGGGTCTAGTCTAGACTCTAGACCTGCTCTGCACTGGAATAGTGCCATGATAAGCGCCTGTGATGCCGCAGGAGACAGATTGCCGGGGCGCGGTTGCACCCTCATGTGACTGCTCACTCAATGTAACGCATGTCAGCCATCCAACCTCATTCAACAAGCCGGACGAAGCTGAGCTTTGGGCATCTGCGCTTGCGTGAAGGGAGCTTGCTGCAATGGGCACTGCTGGACCTTCGCAAAAGAGTGCACTGCAAGGCGCACTGCAACACTGCAAGGCACTGCAGGGTTCCAGTCAATCGGAAGGTAAGGCCTGCTGACTGCATGGAGAGGCAGCGCGAGGCTGTGTTGCCTGTGTTGTCCTAAGTCTGTGAATGTAGCCAGTAGCTGTGGAGCAGTTGTCAATGCAGCTGTGCTTGTGCTTGAGCACCCTGACGAGCGGAAAGCGAGGAAGTTGTTCTCACGGTAAGCCTCAGACTGCCAGAGGTGGTCGGAAAGGATGCGTGAAAATTGGCTCCGGCTCTGAGGCGCTGTCCAACGATCCCTGCGGAAGCTGGATGCAAGCTGGCGCCGGCACCTTCGACGCTGCGCCACTTTGATTGATCCCTGCTGCGTGCCACCCCAATACCGCCAAGCTGCCGAGAAAGCACCCACTTCTGGCGATGTGTCACCTCCAGCCGAGGCCGACTGGATTGCACCCAGAATTGCACGAAAATACAGAACTAACATTGGAGAAGTTCAGGCCCTGACCAATTTTAGCCTTGGTTCCCGAGAACACTTCGCCAGAATCAATTTCATGAGACACCATCTGTACATCATGCTCCCCGCACAATTTTGCACAGCACCTGCATTGCTTTCGAACGTTTCAGAACCTCTTTCCGGCTGCAACTTTCTGCCGACGGCAACAGATTCACCGCGCTCGTGCACCAGCTCGGGCACCAGCTCGGGCTATGGGCTGCCAGTGACACGTGGTGACACATCGTGACACTCCAAGCTCCAACTTCCACCTTGCGCTCCACCTCTCGAGCTTCTGCAACTGATCGTCGTTTCAGTTCTGCGTGAAGGTGCGGCTGCAGCGGCGGAGGCCCGCAATCCGATGAAGCCGCTCGCGTGCTCAAACCTTCTGGAGAAGCCCTAGCCACTGCCCTAGTCCAGTTGGTAGTCCCGGATTCCAAAGCTGTCCGCCTGGCTTCGCATAATTGCGACGACTGCCACAGCAAGCAGCTGGAATAGCACGCCTCCAATAGCACATCTCGCTGGTTTTAAAACGGCCTGTGCAGTCCACAATGGAGGCTTCCGTTCTTGTTCGATCACCTGCAGAACAATGCGATGATGCATTGCAAAATCACAGTTTCAACGCGAAAGCCGACCGCTCCGAAACACCAGAAACATTTGGTGCGACCACGCGACCACGCGACCCGAGGCAGCTGGGGACTAGCTTGTTCTTTACAATGTGTTTGTTTTTTGTTTGAAGTGGCGTGTGCTCTACTGGGTTTGGAGCATGGTAAATGTACCTTGTACCTTTCAGAAAGACCTCACCATGCCCCGGGTTTGAGCTGACTTTGCCTGTTGAGCATACTCTTCTTCCTGCAACCAACCACACCCGAATCTTGGTTTGTTTACTTTCTCGCCTCTTGGGGCAGCGTCTGTGTTTCTCCCTTCTGAAGCCCTGAGCAGCGGTTTCAAAGCTGAGCTTTTCATCTTTGGAAACATACAGCTCTTCTGGGTTCCTCTTTGGGCGTCCTTACCTTTAAGTAGATATACATGTTTACACGTACATATACATATACATATACACATACGCATACACATACACATTCACATACACATACACATACATACAAACATATATACACCTGCAAACATACATACATACATGCATACATGCATACATGCACACATGCACACATGCACACATGCATACACACACATACATACATACATACATACATGCATGCATGCATGCATGCATGCATACATACATACATACATACATACAAAAACACATACATACAAAAACACATACATACATATAACATATCAACATAGAAACATTGAAACATAAAAACATTTTAAAAGAAAACAAACATAGAAACATGAAAACATAGAAACATATAAACATACGTACATGCATACATGCATACCTGCATACGTACAAACATACATACATACAGACATACATACAGACTTACATACATACACTACATAAAAACATACCAACATAAAACATAGAAACATAGAAACATAGAAACATAGAAACATAGAAACATAGAAACATAGAAACATAGAAACATAGAAACATAGAAACATAGAAACATAGAAACATAGAAACATAGAAACATAGAAACATAGAAACATAGAAACATAGAAACATAGAAACATAAAAACATAGAAACATAGACACATAGAAACATAGAAACATAAAGACATAAAAACATATAAACATACATACATACATACGTACATACATACATAAATACATAAATGCATACATACATACGTACGTACGTGCACGCGTACGTACATACATACACACATTATTGCTCAACGGCCACTAGCCCACCCTTCAGACTGTGAGCATAAATACATAGATACATGAATACACATAAATACATACATGGACATACAAAAACATACATATACACATAAAGACATACCTATACATGCATATACGTACATATACATACATATCCACACATATACACACGTATACGGACGCATACATACATACATACATACATACATACATACATACATACATACATATATACATACACACATTTACACACATACACACACGCATATATGTTTCCATACATATATGCACCCCCCCCCCCCCTGAATTTTCTGTGACTTCACGACTCTCGTAATACAGGCGGGACATGTGTCCGTAAACGACAAAACCCGTTTATATGCATCACGCAAAAATCAGTCTAACGCTCCCCCGCACCTACCCCCCTACCCCCCCCCCCCCATCGAGTGAGAGCCCGCAGCCATCGACAATGCGAAAGGCACAAAACCAAAGCTGCCACATTTACGAACAATACTTTTGGGGGGGTTAGCATGTATGATCGCAGCTCGCGGCTCGCCGGCCTCAAAAAGATGCGAAAGAGTTTGAGGCTTTCTCCCTGTGTTAAACGACATGATACGACATGCGTGCCCAAAGCCCTATACGGGTGCCGAAGCCCAGCTACATTTTGCTAAAAAGCGCTGAAGCCCTCTGCGCTCCCATCTGGTGGACGCGAACGAGTTTAAAGAATAGAGGCGGCTAAGGAAAGCCCATCTGTCGTCCTTCAAAATGGAATTCAGACTATGTCGTTTTGAAGGAAGTTCACGATTTGTTCGCTTTTCTTGCATTGGTCTCCCAAATTATCGGGTTCAACTCGGTGAGCCTCCGCCTGCAGCGCCCCGGAGCCCAAGGCGGCCAGCAGCGCCAGCCCATCTTCCTCTCAAAGCGCCCCAAGCAGTGCCCTATAGCGATGCCCTAAGCGATGCCCTATGTTCCCTAGGCAGTTCTTTTTTCAGTCGGTGAAAACGCAGAGGCCTTGGAGATGAGCCAGGCGGGAACTGCAACATGCTCATCTCCTTAGTTTTGGACCGTAAGACATACCATCGCGGCCTTGACTGCGCAATTCTGGCGCTGGGCCCCAAATGTCTCCAGGCGTCGCTCGCGACCGGCTGTCATGTCTGGCAGCTCCAGGATCCCGACCGCAGGAGGGGGCATGCCACTCCTCCTCGAGGGGGACCAGCTGTGACCAAAAGTCGAAGAACAAATTTATGTGTACATATATAGATAATCATGACAAGAACGTGTTAGCAGCTACGCGGCTTCGGAGAAGCCTCACTACGTTCATCCGATCTCATCTGCCTTCATCACAGCTCCTGTTGAAGACCACAAGTCCACAATAGCCTCTGTCTGCTGCCACAACCGCCTTGTCCTAAGAAGACCGAGAGCGTGCTGACGTGTGCGGCCGCGTGTGCAGCACAAGACATGGGCACACTGACGGATCTCCTCAAAAGCGCACGCCCCTCGCCTCGCCAGCAGCACTGCGCTGCTAAAGGGCGGTGCTGGCGGCACAGTGTCCCTGTCAGCACGGATTCTTGGGACGGTTCCCCTTATCATGGGGCCGAGCCTGCTGCAAGCTTGTCCGCTGCCAGGAGCTGGCATCAGGGGCCCTGATGCGGCCGCTGCTCCAGCATCAGGCCACTGGCAAGGCAAGCAGCTCGAAGCACTCGGGCACTGTCTGCCGGCTCCATGCCACGCCTTGAGTACATCAGATATCGTCAGATGCCCACTGCAGCATTTGGCTCTGAGCATTGCCTAAGCATGTCCGCATTAAATTGGTTGGGGTGCGTTCCAGCGTGCTGCATTGGCCACATAGATGCTCTCTGCCCCATTGGCGTCGGTGATTCGCAGTCGGGTGGTTCCCTCCTGTGTCGAGTTGCTTGCAGAGCATGTCCTGCAGCAGCATCGCAGCTATCATGAGGTCAGCTCTTGTAGTTTGCCGGGGACCTGAGCAGCCAAGCCGAAACGAGCAGCCGCATCTGAAGCGCAGTCAAGCCATGGCGAGGACGCTTGGAATTGAGAGCAGAAACATTGCAGGAGCTCCCAACAATTGCAGGCACGTTAAACCGTTCAATTACAGCTGCTGGAGTGCAACGGAGCGCAACCGGAAGAAGCGATGCCTTCCTTGACGTTCAAGTGCCGCCGTACTCTTACAGCATGTCACATGCTGTTCGAGCCAACGGATTCTGTGTAAACACTGTGCAAACTGTGCGTTGCTGCTGCTCACTTGCATTGCCCAACAGCTTCGAAGCATCTCCATGCAGCATGGGGTGCGGGCTCTCCGCTGCCGCAGCTTGGCTTGGAGCTCAGATTCGTTCGGGCTATTCGGGCTCTGCGCATTTCCAGGGCCAACAGGACCAACGGCCTCAGATTCTGGCTTGCCATGGTGCTGTAGGATGATAGTGTGTACAGCACTGGCGGTGCCTGCGGCACTGCTCCGAAGGCTCCACTTCCATAGCGCCCTGTGACGCGCGCCATTCCTCCAGAAGAGCCCAGACAACAGTAAAAAAGTAAAAAAATGGTTCACGTCCATAGGCCCACTCCCCAGTCCCCCAACGCAGTCCACACTCCTGGAGCTGGAGCACAAGCAAGAAGCTACGTGAAGTCTGGCTGGTCACCTCTTACCTCTGATGGGATGCTTGCTGATGCGTGCGTTTCGTATGCTGCGTGCTGCTGACCTGTGTGTCTTCGACATAGGCACCCTGTCGGGTCAAGCACTTGAGCCCGCAAGTCCGCAAGCAGTGCAGTCATAAGTTCATAAAGTCAGTACACGAAGCGTCAGCAAAGCGACGTGTCATCACCAGCTTCCCTCAAAACGCCGTCACTCCAGCGCGGGGCACCAGATGATCTTCCTCAGGCATCGCAAAGCCTTCAGCGACTTCTAACATTTTTTCGCAACTTGACCATGGCTGAGCCCTGCAAGGCCATAAGCACAGAGAGCAGCCAGGAATTGTCAAGTCAAAGAGTGGTGGGACACAGGAAAGTAAAGCGCCTTGGCTAAGTTCTTGCTGGCAATGATCTGCAACAGCGCCCGGGCCAACTGGGGGCAGCAGTCATTCCGGTCTCTCGGGGTCTGTTAGTAGCACCTCACTTCTCCTCTCCAAAAGATGGCTGCCAACTGTCTGCCAAAAGCATCCTCTGGTGATCTACATTGCTCTTCTTCAAGCTCCAGAGGAGCAGAATCTCGATTGACAAGGGTGTGTCACGGATGCAGGCCTCTGCCTGCCCAAGCGAGTAGTAGTTGCACATGCAGATGACCTGGCAGTATCTCTTGGCGTTGGGAAAAATCAAGTTGACACCGTGCACTCAAGCGTTTCAGTTCTGAGGACGGAACAATCTTGTTGTCATCATGTTCCAGAAGAAAAGGACACCGGCCCTGACCCCACGGCATTTTGCATTGCTTTGGGCTTCGGATGGCTTCGGCCATTGCAGAAAGGAGTGAAATTCACGAAACATGCACATGGGGCGCACCCCTTCATCCTCTGTCACGCCATCCTCCTTGACTTTGCTGCCCTTGCCTTCAGGCGGTGCTCGCTACAGGGACATGGTAGTTTCACGGCATTGATGGGTATTCGACGTTTCCGCAAGTAGGTCTACTGCACCTTGCATGGCTTTCCACTTGCGCCATGTCTTGCCAACTTGGCTGAGGCGCTGGGCAGATCTACACTACAGATCTACACTACACTGTTCTGGGAGCTTCAGTGCCACTGCTTCTTAATTTCTCAATGCTACTCTATTCACTTGACTCGCGAAATGCTTGGTCCACTCGCCCAGCTACGTGCATGTCTACTGCGTACGCGCATGAAATGAGCCATCACGACAGCGATAGCACAGCAGCGCCCGCTTGGATCAGACCCACAGCGCCGAAGTGCTGGAACAAATTGGGTACCCACAGCGCAGTCTATGGTGTACTCTTCACAGTGCTCGCTGATGAGCAACAGCTCAACACCGCAAGCAGCCACAGGAGCTAGGCAAGGGCCCACCGCGCTCCACTTCTTGATTTCAAAGCGCTTCTCACCTGGCCCAGGGACTAGCACAACAGATGGAAACTTCACGCAAAATACAGCGCCCAGCATGCTTGAGTATGATTGTCCACAGGTTCAACCTATAAGCGCCTGGGGGACCTGGGTCATCAGAAGATGCGGCGGCCATGTCTCCCACTGAGACTCAAGGATGGGCAACGCCGAGCAATGTTCTGAGCCATGCCGGCGGTAACGGGAGCCATGCCGGCGAAACGGATGACGAGCTCAATACCCAAATGGCGCTCAGCGAAGGCTCAGCTAACGCTCAGTTAGCCAAGCCGTGCTCAGCCGTGCATGCTTGGCGGACATGAACCTACATCCTTTATTGTCTTCTGTGCATGCACACCGCGTTTGGTTTGCGATGGGTTGTCACAAACGCACAGGACGAGCCGTTCAAAAACATCGTCAACAGCTCTACATACTTGTACACAAGAACATTTGGACAAGCAGGAAGTCGTCCTCTCTGTGAAACGGGATGACCACAGTTGAGTGGCCAAAGGTGGTAGTAATGGTGCTGAAGGCACCAACATCCGTGATTTGAAAATGACTGTACAACGATTCCAGATCTGGAGTTCACTCGGTCCACGTAGACAATTGACCGACCGCGGACACTAGAAGTTCGCTGTGCTCCAGCGTGGTAGGTGCCCATGGGATACTGAGTGCAGGCTCCAAAGCTTCAGCAGTGAGGCCTCAGATGTACAAGCATGCCGAGTCCAAGCAAAAAAATGAATGCCTATCGATTTCACTTGCATGTGGTCGCATGGTACAAGCATTGTATATACATGCAAGACGTCATGCTTCAGAATTCAAATGGCATGTGTTCTCAGAACTATGTTCTCATGGCCAAGCACCGCGTGCTTACCATGAATGTCCGTAGCAAGCACCCGAGAGCCCGACCGCACAGCAGCTAAGGAACGAAGAGGTGGAACAACGCGATTCGCTTCGGCCACAATTTGCTCTGTGCTCCTTTTCGCGCTGAAAAAAAACGTATCATGAGATCAGCGTGGGCGAAAAAGTGCACATGGCTCCTTCCTAGCTCCCCTCTCGGATTGGCATACTGGTGGAGCGGAATTGCTATCCTCAAGATGACACGGGTCACATGCAACGCGTAAGATCTCACACATATTGACATATTCTTGTCCATCTGAGAGTGTTGTAAAGTGTTGAAGACAAATTCTGTAGTTGAGAACTGCAGGCCGCTGAACACATTGATGTTGACACTGCGGCGACCAGTGACGAGTTCTTGGCCCCAGACCCATGTATAGGATTGCGAACATGAGCCTGGCAAGAACGGGTGACCACTTTCCTTCAGTGCGAAAACATGCGCCGTGGTGGATGGGAAATACGGGTGAAATCCAGGCAAGCAAGCTGAACCCAGAGTGCCTCCTGCACAACGGAAGAGCAGTTCTGGCTTACGCGGTCATGCCGCACGCCAGATGCCACGCCCAGGTCGTAGACGTCGGCATCTCAGAGAACGCCAAGACGGCCAAGCACAGCTGACACCGTCTGACACCCCGTCTGACACCCATCTCCATTTCTGCTCAGGAAGCTGCTTCTGGGTCCACCCGTCACGGGGTTACATCGCACAGGCCTCGTCTTTCACACAATGACCACGCATGAGCCCACGCAAGAATGGGTGTTCGCAACCTTCCCTAGATTGTCTACTAGTGCAACACTAGGAGATGGGGCACGATTGTCTGTTAATGCCGACATTTTGCTTTGTTACGCTGCACACCTGATAGTATTGGATGCAGGGTCCTGGGTGGGGGTTGTTATTGCTTCTGCTGGGACATTGGGGAGCGCTGTTTGCAACATGATTTATCCCAAAGTCAAGTGGCTTCGGCCACGCGCTCGTGGGAATCAGCACGCCGGAGCCGGCTGCTCGAAGGACTCTTGCATGGTGGTGCTCCTCCTGTGCAACCCGCGCTCATGCCTTGTGAGATGCAGCTCAAGGCTCGGTCCTGGGCAATCTTGCGATGTGCTGCATGAGACTGCAGCGCGTAGCCCGGCCTGCGGTGATCACTGGCCTAGAGAAGGACCGTTCAGAGTTTGATTGAAGGCTCCACGCAAGGATGGCCCCACCACCACCACCACCATCAGTGGTGTGACGGCGACAGCATGGATGCATACATCCCATTCGATTGATTGAAGAGAACAAGAAACTTTTGGGTGCAACCGGCAACCAAACTGCACAAGCAAAACGACCGAACAGCGCTCCAAAAACGCCAACAGGAAAACCATGTAACAAAACTGGAAAAGAACAAAAAGCTCGCCAACACGAACAAGGAGCGAACCAAAACGGACGTTCGGGACACTAAGCCAGCAAGAAGAGCGCACCCAAAACAGCAAAAACGCACCAACACGACCAGGGACCACCCAAAGGAGCCTTCCCCCTGCCCCCGGCGGGGCAAAGACAGAAAAACAAGAAAGCAGCCTCCGCTACCCTTCTCCCAGCCTAAACCACCCTCAGCCCCTCAGCCATTCCCTAACCACTACCTGCAGTTTGGTGCGGCAGTTGGTGTTTTCGCTTTGACCGTTTGGTCAGCACAAAGCTGTGCTGAGCGAAGCGGTTGATGTGCGGTTGCCCCACCCGCACAATCCTTCGCCCAAGGTAGTTACAGAAGGAAAGTTTCTAAACAAGCAAACCACCGAGATTGGCAATTCTGCTGTAAGGCTCTTGGCTTTTAAACTGCAGTGCCAAAGCGAACAGTGGAGTCTTTGAGCATCGGTACATTGCAGCACACGACGTGTTCATCGTTTCTGCTTTCCACTGCCTGCCTGTCGTCTCCCAGGTGTACCTGCCACGATGCCCACAGGAGATGCAAACTTCACCGTACATTGGGAAAATTCTACACCTCTCCTATCACGTTAGCTTAGCACACTTGCATGGCCGTTCGAGCGAAACAATGACGCATTCTTTTGACACACTGCTTTTCAAACCCAGAATACTCCAAACCAAGGTGCTATCATAATAACATAACGAGCCCTTGTTAATGATAATAATCATCATAATCATAATCATAATAATACTATTTATCTTCGTGCCCCCCATTTTAATTCTATTTCTATTATACGGGGCACGGTAATAATAAGAACAAAAATAATAATATACCGGGGCTTACTACTTTCTTATCTTTGCCCGTGAGGTAATAATGATACCCGCAGCACGCCAGGTTTGCCGTCAGGTACGGCTGTGACTTTGGGGTGGAGGGGGGGGGTTAAGAACGTCATTCATATTGCATGCATGCCCAAAACACTGGTGTTTACAGCGTTTTCGTCTCTTTGTACAACATACTGCACAAGGATGTGGAACAAGAAAATCTGTCACAAGCGTCCAGCCTGTCGCGACCATGCCCAAAACACGTCCCACAAAAACCGTGAAAGTCCGGAAATTTGGCAAATGCGTTTTCGGAAATGCAAGCCTCCAAAAAACACAGCTGCAGAGGTTGTCTTGGCAGAAGTGCATGAAAACATCACAAATAACAGTGTTTGCCGCGCGCGCACACACATCAGGCAGCCAGCCATGTAAATGCTGCCTGACGGCAAACGTGGCGTCAAACAACACCAGGACCTGCTTAAAAATCAGCAAAACCCATAGCGGCAGCGCAACACCAAAAAAACATCCAATAACATTGACCATCATGAGGTGCCTCCCGTCCCACAAAAACCAACGAAGAACAATGCGCGACGGCAAACCTCACGTGCTGTGCGTAATAATATAATAGTAGGAGTAAGAATAATAATAATAATAATAATAGTAATAATGATAATAATAATAACAATCACATACCGTGAACAGAATACAATACTATTTTTAAGGGGCACAGAGTGAAGCGAATACGCGCCCCTAATATTAATATTGTAAGCACGAAACATGAACGGCCAAGTGCTCAGGGTAGATATGGCGTGTACGCCTGGAGAGCGTCCTTTCCACGTAAGATACCCTCACCACTGTCTGCCAGCTTCGTTGGCCGAGCCCTTTGCGCACTGATAGCTCTTGGGCCGACTTGCTAGTTGGCCAGGCACCCACAAGCACGCAAAGAGTCCGGCCAAGCATCCCTGGCCAGCAGAGAGTCGCCGAGCATCGCTGGACAAAAGCCGGAGAAACTCCGCACTCCACCCCCAGAAAAAACCCACAAAACAGCCCGTCAAGGATCCCTGGAGTGCCAATCCCAGAGAATGTCGCAGCGAACCCCTGCAGAGTATCCCTGGAGAGCCCAGCGCCAGAGAAGCCCGCAGAGCCCCAGAGAAGCGAGCACCCGTGGAGTTTCGAAAAGAATCCTGTCTGCAAACGGCAGGATGGCTGCCACATCAGGTTGCTGCAGGGTGAGGATGATCGTGGTGCATAATGTTGTTCATTTCGTCCAGCAACAGCAGCCATGTCATGCACCCCTCGCCCTCGTGGCCCAACAACCCCCACTACGGCACGGGTGTTTCAGAAAGCGTTGTGTCTACATGTCCGAAGTGGAAGTGTCTGGCCAATACTCTGTGCAGATGCGACTAGCACTTCAATCGAACATCAAGCATTGCGCCGAGTAAGTAGCTGGCTGAAACCACCGGAACCAAAGTGTCATTCTTCGGCTGTGGTCCTGCAGCGATCTGCCAGAACATCTTGGGAGAAAGCCAAGAGCCAGAAAAGACTTGCTCTCGGCCAGCGAACCCATGCTGTGTAAGGCATTAGACATCATTAGACCATAGCTTGCTCCTGGGTCTTCGTATCTGTCACGTTGCTCCGTGCGGTAGTGGGCTTCAGGCTTGAAGGCCTGCCTTCATGTGCCATTCATCTGCGGCCCATTGACCCGCAAAAGAACAATCCGAGAGCTGCAGCGTTCTGCAGCGTCACAGCTGAGCCGAAGATGAGACCGAGCTCTCGGCTGTCTTAGCTCGACAACGCTCATATTCTTATCTGGAGCATCGCAGGTGGCATAGACCACCTCGTAGGTCAGTATGTCGAAATAGCCGAACAGCCATTCATGATCAATCACATGGGAACACTCCTAGCTTGCGCCACAGCCTCTGGATCCACAAATGTGGTGTGGCTCACTGACGCTCCTCGAACCCCTTCATCCCACTTCTCACCTGGGGCAAAGGATTTGTCAAAGGAGTATGCGCTGATCATGGCTTAGGCTGTGGCATCCAATCGCAAAGTGAGTAGCTTCATGTAGCCTGCAGACAGAAATTAAGAAAGGTCTTGGGCAATTACTGCGGAAGCTGCAACTCTTGCAGTTGAGGTTGCTTAGCCAACACATGTCAGCAAGAGGACACGAGGGCCTCTTCAGCTGCGAGGCTTTCTTGCTGCAAATGACATCCTGAGACGTTGCACCCAACCTGAGTCTACATGAGGCACGCTGCACAAGGAACTGTCCGAGGCAGTGGTGACTCAGAAGCGTGCCCTTTTAAGAAGCCCTCGTACTGAGATTCTGCATGCTGTGAGGGTCTGGTTTGCGATACTCGCACCTTGCAAAAAGGGCAGAGCTGAGAGCGGTGGACCTCTGACCTCTGCACCCCCTCTCAGGACGAGAAGATGCAAAAAGGAGCAACGCGGAGGCAGGCCTCGCCCGGCATCGCCACAACAAGGCTCGTTTTAAATGCTAAGTTGGTCTCTCTTGTGCTGACTTGTGCCTCATCTGGCAGAGTACTCCAAGGTTTTCTGAGTCGGTGTGCATGGTGTGCGGTTGCTGATCACGTGCTGGCAAGACAAGCGGCAAAAGAATATCTGACAAGGCTAGGAGATGACAACCGGGACCTCGGGAAGATTGCTCACTCGAGGGCCTGCGAAGACTGTGATGAACTTCCTAATTTCAAGCGCTCTCACACCTTTTCTTGTTTTGCATGCCATTGAGCAAGCAACTATTGATACTTAAGGCGTCCTTACAGGACTCCTTAAGAGGACATGGAGCCTCGGAGGCAGGCAAACCCAACATGCATGCTTCTTCCCTCTCGCGTCTCGTGACAGCTATGCAAAGAGTTTCTGGCCTCCTCAGCATTGATAAGCATTGACAAAACACGCGCGCGCAGCTTAAAGCTGCTCTTTTCTTATGAATTCGCTTGTGAGACTGCAACTGCGGCTTCACCGACCAGCTGAGTACATTATCTTTTTTTTGTGCAGTACTTTGCTGCACACCACGCCCATACTACTGAGTCTACCTATCGACTAAATTTCTAAATGTCACACACATGGACACCATGAGAATCCACGATCCAATCCTGACAAAGGCATGCGACGAACGTCACTTTGCTGGAGATTTGTGCTGCTTTGGACGTGCCTTTGACTTGCAGACACCGAAGGTTTGAGAAGATTTGGTAGGTCACCTGAGCGATCAAAGTCACGCATTGCCGTCCCATCGTCCGCAGTGTTGCGCCACGGCATCCAGGGTAAGGAGCTTGCCAATCTCAAAACCAGTGAAAGCAAAGCTCGTGAATACCTCAAAGCTTCAGTGTGTGCTCCCATCCTGTGCTGCAGATGAGTTTGGGGTGGGCTCTGGAGTTCTGGAGGACGACGCCATGCCGGACTTGGAACCACACTGATGAATGCCGCGCATCATCACCTGAAATGTGACAACTGCCAGGCCCGAATACCATGAACACAAATACATCTCCCAAAAGGCTAAACATTGCAGACAGTCCAGACAACATTTTTTGCACCATCCAAAGCCTGGTCCTAGCCCAATCCAGATGCGCACGTGATCGTGCCCTAATCAAGACTGATTGCCATGAAAGCACCTGGTTAAACTGCAATCAATGCTACGCGTGTCATGCGGCTGCCGTTTGGGCAAAGCGCCCTTGCAATAACATTCTCATGGCAGCCTTTTGTTACCGTACATGGTGCACACGCTGTCCTGCCCGCATACACGTCGGCGTCATGCACAGACACTTGAGAACACATGCGATTCTGGGTTGAATTAGTTGAGATTTGTTGCTTTGAGGCCCGGGTTGCCTAGGCCTTTCAGTATATTTTCGGAGCCTTCGTTTCACCGGCTTCTCAGCCCCTCACGACCCTGCGTGTTACGACAGGGCTTCACACCCGCGATCTCCGGTTTGGGTTGCCTCGCAGGCCGAGGCGGGTCGCGTAGCGTTAATTAACACTAGGACTCTTTCCCACTGCCTATTGACCTTGCTTGTGCCTTAACTTGCAAGGAAGTCTAGACGTACGGTTGGGCAGGAAGGCCGTTAAAAGCTGCAGCGAGCCTATACAGTCGCGGTACTGCGAGAACTGCGAGACACGACAGCTCGGTTCGAAGAAGATCGAGGGTCTGAATTCGCGAAGCGTGACAGATTCGCTACGTGAGCTCCCAAAGCAAGGCCAGACTGCTCCGCTTGTTTAGTCGCAATAACTGGTCCGGCCCATGTCCACTACACGTCCACTACACGTCTATGGGGCTACATTGTTCCACATCGGATGTGCAGATGTGCAGCCGAGTGGTGTGTTGTTGGTGCCTGTGGAGTTTTCGTAGGATGTGTCGCAGAGCTGGCATCCTCCAGTCAAGACTTCCGCGCAACAAGCGGGACGTAGTACGTCACTGTGTCCAGTGTCCCAGACAGCCCTTCAGACGATGCACGAAAGAAATGGTAGCTGCCCGTCTCATCCTTGTTTTTCTGCAGCAAAGTCACAGTACACTCCCGAGCACAGGGACACCGTCCAAACGTTCCTCCGAAACAAGCCAAGCATGTGTGTTGGGCGTGGGCCCAATGCAAACTCTGAAGCTTGCACTGCAAATTGCATTCCAAGGCTCTGAACGGGATCTGTGCTAGGCATGCGAAATGGGAACTCAAACCTGCAAAATTCGTCTGAGGTTGTTTAAACATTAACTTGCGGCACAGCTGGGGCGGATTTGAGCACATCCAAGGCTGTCACCCATACCCGCCAGCAGCGACGGTCGCCTGAAGCGCATTCGCATGCTTAGCCAATCTTGGCCGCTCCCTCAACAATGTGCCGCGCAGTGCCAGGTGCGGGGGCTCGGCTCTGCGAATTTTGTTTTTTCTGCTGGGTCCGGCACTCCAGGGTGGAGGAGAACCTGATTCTGGATCACACCAATTCACAGAGTTCTCCACCCGAGTTCCGCCAAGCGACTTTGATGCTGTTGGTCGAGCGCGTCTGAGGGAATCCAAGCAAAACAACAATCGTCTCTGCTAACACTCCACGTCAAAAACTTCTGGCCTGGGGCTGAGCCAGCGGGAATGAACTGGTAGCACCTCTCTGAATCACGCGGATGTCGTCCACGGCCCTGCTCATGGTTCTAGCTTTTCTCACTAAGCAACGATGTAGGACTGCATGCATATCCATGATGATGCCATGCATGCTGCCAACGTTGGTCACTAAGACTCTTGCACGAGTCGATGGCGGTATCCGACAGGCATCTCAATTAAGATGGCTCCTTGGCTGTGCACATCTGTGCACTGGAAAGCTGATGAAAATTCAGCATCGAGAACAAAAATTTCCAGCAAAACCTCAGCCGCTCCAGCTCCTTTTTCGAGCTCCGAGATCCAAACTTGACGGGTTGGCTGGATGGAGGCTAGAACGTCTCGAGATCTCGCAAGATGCGGGGCGGCGCATGGAGCGTCGCAGAGCATCCAAGAATCGCCACAGTGGTCGCGAGCAAAGTGTGAGCAATGAACACTGAGCATCTTCAGCCCGTGCGCAAGTGCGTTGGTCGTGTCGCCTCCGGTATCTGCGGCGAATTGCGTCCGTCACGTTCACCGGAGCTTTCAAGTTTCAAGGAGCACGAACTCGCATTTCAAGAGTCCAGCGGTTGAACGATGAATCCTTCCAGGATCTGTGGCATGAGGGATGCTGCGCCATCACCTTGAACAACTTCCGTCTCTGGAAGAACTGCCGTCAGGGTGTACAAGTTGCCTCGAAACAGAGGTAGTGCGGCATGGGGCATCATGAGTGCTGGGTACTCTCACTTCATCTAGATGCCAAGAGGCGGTAACCCCGTCGGTCTGCTGGCCCCAAGGCGCAACTGCTGAAGCTCCGTAGCTCTGCGCCCGATGGAAAGGTTGTGCGCCATTGATACTCCTTGACATAGCTTGCAGTCGATCCGTATCCCTGCCGATCGCGAACGTCATGTATTCTTGCTATGTGCTGCTGCGCGTCATAATAAGTATTCCCAGCCCGCTCAGCCTCACGGTTCGAGCACATGTTGGATAAAACACCGGCATGGCACAGGAGAGTCTGTCACAGACCAAGGCCTTTGGGCATTCTTGGGGTAGATCGCTCCTTCAATACTCTACGTACCATTACGTACCAGTATCAAGTACTCACCACCCCGAGACTGATTAGAGTCTGACATTTTTTGGAAAGCTTCGAACGATAAGTTGTTTTGTGTCTTTTCACCAGTTCACAGGCTTATTCTCCCAGCGCTTAGAAAACACACTGATATTCGTACAAGCAGGGGAGAGAAGACCTCGCAAAGTACACCTGTTTTAAGGTGCTCCAATACTTCTTCCCTCGGGACGCTTTCTACGAATGATCTTTGTTGAGGCCCGCTAATACAAGACACTTCTTTTCTCTTCTTATGCACAAGGCACGGCGAGGACCTTTCGAGGGCCTTTCTGAAATCTGCACAGTCGGACTCTGCCCCTTCTCTTAGACCATGCTAGAATCCGGTCACCTATTCAACCTGCCCCATCCCTCCCCACGAGCCTTCAAAAGAAACCACCTTACTCAGCTCCCGAAGTGTTCCCTACAGTACGACCAGTCACATTTCCTGACTGGAACCTGAAGGCATAGAGATTCCAAATGTAGACTGAATCTGACCCCGACCAGGCCTTTACGGCCTTCAAAGCTTCGGCTGTCTTTTTGGATCCCTCCGGAGCAATCGTCTCTTTGAGAAGCCTTGCCCACACTCAAGCACACTCAAACACACAAAACAGTAACACGAGATGCGCACAGCTTGAGCATGAAGTACAGCCTTTCCAGCGATGCTTCCGGGTCGCCAAGGATCCTTAGATATCCTAAAACAGCGGCAGCGGAGTAGTGTAGAATGCGGTGGTCTCGACAAGAAACTGCTCTGTGCAAGCAAGGCGCTCTGAAATTTGCGGTGGCTGTCCAGGGGCTTTGGGAGGTAATCTCTGCTTGACTACCTTACCGGCAGCTAACAGGCTACCCCGGGGAATGCCCATACGCACGCCTTGTTCTTAACAACGTGCCACCTTTGGCGTAGGGCGTAGGGCGTAGGGCGGCTTGTCCGCCGAAAACTGGGATGGGGAACAATCAACTACGGTTTGGGTTTCAATTTCTGATCCAGAACAAGCTGCTGCAGGTCCATCTCTGAGTGCAAGATGCTCTCAACATGCTTGCAAGGCACGGAAAGATTCTCCCGGCTTTTGAGGGCACGGTCGCCTCCGCCCGCCGGCCCCCAGGCTGCATCCGGCCCCACCTGGCGGGGGAGATTCTTTATCTCCTTTTGCAGCATGTGCCGTTGTGGACCCGAGAACCAATCGAACGTTGGCGTAGTTACTTTAGCCGCGCCACCCCCTGTGGTGCTGCGCCCGGGCGCCCACGGCGAGACACGCCTGCCCGGCGCAGAGCACTCTGACAGAGCCTACACCGGCCTACATGCTGCCCTCATGGGTCTTTCTACGTTCTGCATGAATGCATGTGGTGGCAATCCATACCTATCGAACGGTTCTGGTCAGCCAAGTGTCCGAGCATATCATCGGAGCTCATCTGGCCGGCTTTGAGTAGAGCTACTCGCTGATCAAAGAGCCACGTGCTCGGATAGCGAGCCTGGTATTGTTCCTCATAGTAAGCCTCCCGGATTGCAACCCACACGAATCCAAGAATGCAAATATAGCACCCATGCCCTTCGTAGCGTTCACTCATCATCAGCCTCAATCATGATCACAACATGTGGGTCCAAGTGTAGTGTAACCATTGTAAATATGCAATGTGTCAGATATACTGTCATGATGTATCTCTAAATACATATTTGGTTTTTACTTATTTTACTGTTTCTTTATCTTTATATATGTATTCTTCATATGTTCTCTTCGTATTTATTCCTGTATTTATGTAGATGTACATGTACTTCAGGGGGAAGCCGAGGACAACGAAAGCTAGCAAGCCAGCTTAGGCAGCAGCGTTTTTTCCGGCTATGTAGTGGCTCATACCTTTTTCCCGCCCCATCCCAACCCCGGCCACTCTTTTTCCCCCTTCTTCTTCTTCCTTGCCCTCTTCCCCTCGCCCTTCCTCCCTCCCTGATTCCTCGTTGATTCTGACAGACCACCACGAATTACCACACTCTACCAAACACCCCACCACGTCGATCTGGAAATCTTCACAGTCAGCTCGTGCAAATTCCGCCTATAGGGGGGACCACAGGATTTGGGTAGAAGTTGCCGATTCCGATTAAATATGCACAGATCGAGAAAACGACCCTCTCGTTTTCCAGATTTGGGCTGCTTACACGGATGCCCCTCAGAGGGAAGTGCATTAAGGGGAGGGGCCACATAAAGTACATGGGGTACATGCCCCATTCTTGGTGTGTCTTGCTTACGGCGCGGTTGCTTTGCTTATTGGTGCGTTTTGGTTGTTGGAAACATGCATTCATCGAGATCGTGATCTAGTCCTCAAAAGCTATCCAAACACGAAAACACGATTGCCCTCACAAACATCCGAAGCAACCCTCAAGTCTGGCAACCCGCACTTGCTTAAGAGCTGGGGGGGCGTTTTGTGGAAAAGTGGAAGCCGTGCGGGCTGGCAACCCGCACTTGCTGAGGAGCTGGGGGTGTTTTGTGGAGAAGTGGAAGCCGTGCGGGCTGGCAACCCGCACTTGCTTAAGAGCTGGAAGTGTTTTGTGGAGAAGTGGAAAAGCCGTTGCGGGCCTGGCAACCGTAACTTGCTTACTGGTGGGGGGGGTGGGGGGTGTTTTGTGGAAAAGTGGGAGCCGTGCGGGCCGCACTTGCTCAAGAGCTGGGGGGGTGGTGTTTGGTGGAGAAGTGGAAGCCGTGCGGGCTGGCAACCCGCACTTGCTTAAGAGCTGGGCGGCGTTTTGTGGAAGGTGGAAGCCGCGCGGGCTGGCAATCGGCGTATCGGCGCATCGGCGCATCGGCGTATCGGTGTATCGGTGTATCGGTGTATCGGTGTATCGGTGTATCGGTGCATCGGCGGATCGGTGTATCGGTGTATCGGTGTATTGCCGCAGTTTTACGCCGATGGCCCCCACACCCCGGATCGGGGTGGACCCCCTGATCGGTGCATTTACGCTGCATTTACGTTTTCCTGCCCCCCCTCCGCGGGCGCACTGGTTTGTGGAGAGTGGAAAACCCGCACTTGCTTAAGAGCTCGGTGGCGGGGGGGGCGTGTGTTTTGTAGAAAGTGGAAGCCGTGCGGATTGGCAACCCACGCTTGCTTAAGAGCTAGGGGGGCGGGCTGGCAACCACACTTGCTTAAGAGCTGGGGGGGCGTTTTGTGGGGGGAGG